TAGTACCGTTGTTGTATTGATTTCAGCGATTAGTTTACTTTGTTGGTTGGTTGACAAGGGCAAATTGGAAAAATGCATAGCGGACATCATTAGTAGACTTTAAAACAGTTGTATGAGATTGCTGTTTCAGTATTCCGGTGTTTGCTTTCTGCACTCATTCTTTCTGCAGTTATGTTACTAAAGAAAGCTTCAACCTTCTATACAAAATATTAGTAAAAATATGCCTTGTGTTGGTTATGTTGCACAAGAAGCAAGGCCATCAGCTCTGGAAAATTTACAGGTTGTCAAGTTTCTGCTATAAGTTTTTAGTGTCAGTGCTTGATTTACTTCAGAATTATGTCTGATTACTTTCCTTGTGGATCTTGTGTATCTTTTGTGTCATCTAATGTAATTTTTTTTTTTAATAGCACATTCAAAAAGAACGCTCCAAAGGCAATTAAGGAAATTAGGAAGTTCGACCAGAAGGCAATGGGAACAAGTGGTGTGAAGGTGGATGTCAAGCTTAACAAACTTGTGTGGAGCCAGCCAAGGAATTCGAAGTATACCAAGAAGAATACATGTACGCGTTGCACACAAAAGAAATGATGAAGAGGATGCCAGGGAGGAGTTTTATTCATTAGTCACTGCTGCACATGTTCCTGAAGAAGAATGGAAAGGTCTGGGAACTAAGGTGGTTGATGAAGTGGATTGATCACGCTGAGCATTCTTAAGTAGGTAGTGGTTTCTATGCTCAATTTTGGCTTGTGTTCTCTTTAACATTATTTTTATCGCAAATATTTTGGTTGGGTTGGATACATGTAGGAATTTTCACTTCCAGTTACACATGCAGTGTATTCAACATTTCTATTGTTTTTCCTATAATCAACAAGTTTAATATCAATTGCTATTCAGTTTTGAATATTTTGAAGGTTTCCTTCCAGTGCCTTTCGCAATCACCAGTCACATGTTTGTGAATAAAGTAAGAAATACCAAGTTTTAAATGTCATATATGAATCCCTTTTTAAATATATTTTCAAGTTCTTTTTGGTTTGAAAGGTTTTGGAAGATGAAGTATCTCTATATAAGAGAAGTGAAATTATCATTTAACGCTTCCTTTGTCCTACATTCCTCTCTCTGTCTTTCTATGTTTTCTTTATTCAGGCCTTTCCTGCATTATGAGACGACGGAACTAGAGGAACTGGATAAATACACGGAAGGTGGAGGGGCTGGAAAGATTTCAGAGACAAACATGATTTATAATCTGTTCTACAGTTCTGATAATCTGCATGCCAGGATCATGCTTGACCAGGGTACTATCTCGATAGAAGTTAAATAGAGAATTGCATTCTTGTTGTCTACAAGTTATGAATGATGCAACAATGTTTACGTACTATGTCAATCCTGATTTTTTCCACGGTCATAGGATCTCTTTTCTTCAAGCTATTTAGATAACGTGTTAGATGTTTCATTCTTGATTGCTTGGATTGAAAAAGCAAAGGATCATTTAGCTGGAAAACAAACAAAGGACGAAAGATAATTGCTTGAATTCTTTTGCGTTTATCTTTTGGCCAGAGTCTCATTATTTAAGTGCATGTTTGGATATCGATTGTAGAAAATGACATTGAGCAGTTTAAAAGTTCTCGCTTTTGGTAAAGTAACCATCTACTTGCATTGGAAAAACGAGGTTTGGGAAGCAACATTTAGTAAAAGTAGTTAAACAAGCAATTAATAGAAACTAGGTTTCCAAAATTAGATTGGAGCCTCCAAACTAATATCCAAACACTTTCTAGGTCATGCTGTATGTGTACAGTTTAATAGTAAAGATCAAATAGAGGCACATTTAAAAACTTACTCTTTCCATTTAAAAATATAAGATATTTTTTGAGGAGTTGAATATTAAAAAATGTAAGTCATTTTTAATCTTTCGAGATATAATTATTACTTTTTTTTCAAAAGTGTCCCCATTGATAATAACTTTATAATTATTGTAGGGTGTTTAATAGGGATAAATATAGAAAGATCAGGTTAGTTGAAAAGTAAGTAATTACTTTATTAGGGGGTGAAATTCAATTAAAAATGCCTTACATTTTTTAACGGAGGGAATATTATATAAAATCTTAAATTTTTATAACAAAAAGTGTCACTTAACTTATTTATTTTGATTGGAAATAATACAACATTAAATATTAAAAACAAAAAATAATTCTTCTTTGTGATGTGAAGTGAGCTAGTTAAAAATATCTTATATATTTCTCTAGTTCTATTTATAAAAAAAATATTTATTTTGATTTTATTTACATGGCATTTCTATAATATTTGTGTTTATCTTTATCGTTTTGCTCCCATTGAATCCTTGTTTTTTTAAATTATCACTTATATTAAATATTGGAGTATTTTATTTTCAGTGTACACACATTTAATAGAGTTCAGATTTTTTGACAATGTTAATGAAATGTGAGATTTTTCTTACTTTTGATAAAATATGTTGAAAATAATTTATAAATAAATCAAATGAAGTAACATGAGACGTTTCCTAAACCAAAAGGTAGCAATATGAAACGAAATTAATAAATATGAAGTGTCTAACCTGATCCCAAAATGTACAGGAAAAAACTGTCGTTTCAGGCGTAAATTATAGTTAGGGAGGTGCGTGTGACAATGCCTAGTAAGTAAATTATAGTGAAGCGTGAGGCCTTGGGCTCACAAATATTCAAGGAAGTGAGCTGGCCAAGTTAATGATATCTATACAGAGAGGCATGTGCTCAGTGAGACATTTATTAGTGCCAAGATTTGGAGATTGCTTGATGCAACTAAGAAGGAGGGGTGACGAACTTACCTAAAAATGGAAATAAAAGAAGAAGAGGCACTGCATGTGCCCTCTTCAATATACTAATTCATCCCGTCCCTTACTAATTAGACACATTTTCAGATGAAATCTGAGAAATTTTTGGAAGCTAGTATCATGAGAAGGTTCTTGGAAGCATTCCATGTAATTTGGATTCATTGTAAATACTAAAAGTAAATACTCTCAGCTGTGCCATGTGCAACCTCGTATTTTATTGTGGCCCACAATGGCAAAAAGAGCAAAACAGCATTGCCAAAACTACAATTCCCAGATCTTATCATGAACTGGGAACTCTATAACTGGCCAAAAAAAAAAAAAAAAGAACAAAACAAAACTGGGAACTCTATGCCTAGACCAGGAATCTAGGATAGGACCACATACACATTTTCTTGCTATTTAATGAAGCCACAAATCTAGTTCCATTGAATATGCTTCATCAAGTAGTTAGCTGAATCATTTTTTAAAATAAATAATCGTTGATAGTAACCTTTAAATCTGATGAGAAAAAGAAAGGGAAAATTACTCGAAGGTCATGCTCGATACTATCATTTTTTGAAGTTCAGTCATCGATGTATGTAAAAGTAATTAATTGTGTTTAATAAAATTTGTATGTAACTCTTTTAAAAAGAAAAGGAAAAACTACAAGCAAAGACTATTGAATAAAATTTATTACTTTGTAGGATTAAATAATTCTAATATTACTTTGCAAGATCAAAGAACTTAAATATGATTAAAATTTATTGTGAAAAGACAAAACTACCCCTTATACACACACACACACAAAATTTTTTTAATAACAATTAATTCTTGCATTAATAACTCCAAAAAAATAAACTTGATAGTGGAGATGAAGAAGTATTGTAATTTGATAAACAAGTCTTCATAAAAAATAAATTTTATTTTCATTCTAACAATAACCATTTCTTCGTTAATAAGTCCAAAATATTAACTTTTGGTGACAGAGAGAAAGTTTTATAATTTGATAATTATAAGTAAATATTTTATTTTTATTTTAACAATAATCAATTTTTCCATCATAATAAATATAAATATATATATATATAAGGGATAGTTTTGTCTTTTTATAATAAATTATAATTATATTGAAGTCATTTGATCCTGCAAAATAATATTAAAATTATTTAATCCAATAGAGCAATTAATTTTGTCTAATGGTCTTTGATTGTGATTTTTTTAAAAGAAAATCTAACCCATATGTTATATTGAATTTGAATTAAGCTAAGCCGTTCATGATTTATAAATAATAAATTTCATATTGTATATTAAAAAAATGAAATAACTTGACATTTTAGTGGTTAGAACAAGGCTGTCAAGATAGAACCAAAATCGACAAAATAAAATGTGAATCTAACCAGCTCATAAAAAAATTAAAGGGGAAAAAACAGGATTAGGAGGTTTGCTTCATGTGTAAAGCTAATCCAAGGACTTGGAGTTATTTAAGGGGTCAAGTTGACTTTGACCACCCTAATTATATGTTGAACCCATTGATACATGATTATTGTGCGGTGCAAATAATTTCATTAAAAAAATACACTGTGCCTCTCTTTGGGGACACAACAATCTTTAGTATTCAGGTAACATATCATAGAATCCGGATGTCTCCAATTGTTTATTAAGTGGCAAACAATATCAACCCAGTGGATTTTGGACGATTTCAGTCTATAATGGTTAAATGTTATTATTTTTAATTTGCAGGTATATGAACTTGGTCTCTCATGATTTTTCAAAATTCAATACTTAATTTAACTTTAGCCACTTAATTTATGTGATAAAATTACTAAACTGAAAAGGGTAATCATACCACAATAGATGGTCAGATCAGATAATCTCGTGACAACCTCTGGAGGGAGGATCAAAACAATCAACATATAATGATTTTGAATTTGACACTAAATAGACTTGATACTCAAGCAAATGTTCCCACAAAACCATGTTTGTTCTGTTATTTAATCAATCATTTGTTTGATCGATGCAAGAATCGAGTTAACATGTCAGCCCACGAGCCTCTAAGTATGATTATTTAACATACATCTTTTATGCTAAACTCATCACTAACATCTATTATTATTTAATAATTTGGCAATCTTTATTATTTTTCTTGATTTCTGATTGTTCAATTGATCAATTATGGCCAGAACATACAGGCACCATGAGATTGATGCAACAACAATTAATGGATCCAATCCATGATAATCCAAATCCAAATATTTTACAAAAATCTGCCTGTAAACCTCACATGCCACACACGCTATGATATTCATTGCTTGCTTGACCATTGCTCTCACATTATCACTAAAACATCTTTCTTTTCTCAGTTCCTCATGATCTTATATTCTTATGGCTTTCTCTAATCTTATCCTCTCAAATAAAAAAAAAAAAAACACACACACACACACACACAATAGCATTCAGATTTACATCACACTTAATTGCATTCTAATCACCAGTCAATAATAGATCGATAATATAACCCCTTCTCAATCGTCAGTATACCCGACCCCGGTTTACTCGGGAACCCCGATTGTGCTGTTCGTTTTCAACAAGCTCTCAATGGGTTGCCACACAAACAATCGTTGTTGCTAAACGACGGCGCATCGAGATGATCAAAGGGGGACCCGATTGGGATGGTTCCGCAAAGGTGATTGTTGCTGAAATCTAAGTGGCCGACGAACTTGGATGACGATAACGAAACGGGCACCGGACCCGATAATTTGTTGTGGGACAAATCCAATACCATGAAGTATGATTTTGACCCGAATACGTTGGGTATGGTGCCTTCCAAACTGTTTCGGCTCAAGTTTAGGATACCCATGCCCCGATTGCTTAACAAACTTGAAGGTACTTGACCCGAAAGTGAATTGCAATCCAACGTAAGCGTGGAGAGAACCCGCATTTCGCCGAGTCGGTCCGGAATCGAACCGGAGATCCGGTTCGTGGATAGATCCAAGTCCGCTAAGCGTTTCAAGTTGCAGATGGAGGTCGGAATCGGACCAGTGAGCTGGTTTTGGCCTAGCAATGCGCGGCTCAGCATGCGGAGATTGCCTAAATCGGAGGGGAGTTCGCCGATGAGCTGGTTGTTCCTGAGGTCGAGGTACCTGAGGCCGGCGAGGGTAGCAATCGACGCCGGGAACTTTCCGGAGATGGAGTTGTAGGCGAGGTTAAGAATGGTGAGGCTCTGTAACTTCCCGATGTCCGCCGGAATCTCGCCGGTGAGGCTATTACCGATGAGGTCAAGGACTCGGAGGGAGGAGAGGGAGGTGATGCACGATGGAATCTCTCCGGAGATTCCCTTCCAATCAGCGAGGACGAGACTCGTGAGGCTGTCAATGCGGCAAATCTCAGGTGAGATTGTTCCATTGAGGTAACCGGAACGACCAGCCTTGAGGAAGATCGGGTCCTGAGACTCGCCGCGGAGGTTGATATCGGTGATGCGGCGAGTAGTAGGGTCACAATGGACACCATACCAGTTGAGGCAACAGTCGCTGCCGTTCCAGGAGTTGAAGATACCCAAGTAAGGGTCGGTCAGCGAGTCTCTGACGGCCAGAAGAGCCGCCCGGTCCGACGGCGAACATGAGCTAACGGCCGAAGTGACGGCAAGAATCAAAGTAACTACTAACAATGGCGAGAAAGTCATTTCTTCAATGAATGAGAGCGTGTGGCCTGTGGGCTTCTCTGTGTGGAGAAGGAGGAGAAGGAATATGGGAACTTGCGCTTTGTAGGGAGCTCGTGAATTGGTAAGATTATATATACCTGTCCAGTGACTAAAATGTCCTTCATAATTGCTTGTTATTACCATTGGGTCTTCATCAATGTCTTGCACATGCCCCTTGCATTTGGTGGGTTCAAGCTTCAGGGGTTCGATTAATTTGCAATGAAAGGTGGCAAATACCTTTTCTTTTGTCTACTAAAACAGTAGTACTTATGGATTTTTTTTAAATGTTAAAAAAAAGGACAGTGTTAGAGCTGCCTATTGCATCTTGATATGAAAAATTTTAATGGTGTGAATTTAACCTTCTAAATTTCCTTTTGATTAACAATGTTTTCATTGAGTCAAGTTCAAAATGAGATATTTTTTAAGATAATAAAAATTATTAATAATTTTTAAAGGTAAATTGATGATGATGATAATGTGTTTCAAAGAATAGTATAAATAATACTCCCTTCACTTAAAAAATATAAAGTATTTTAATCGAATCTCACTCCAATAAAATAGTTACTTATTTTTAAATTAATTTTATCTTTTTATATTTATTTCTATTAAACACCCTATAATAACTATAAAGTTATTCATCAATAGAGGTATTTTTTAAAAAAGAAGCAATGATTAAATCTTAAAAGATTAAAAATGTCTTACATTTTTTAATATTCAACTTCTAAAAAAAGGACTTACATTTTTGAACAGAAGGTGTATAACTTATCAAGATGACTTGTAAGAAATATGGAAAAAAGAAGTTGGAAAAATTAATCATTTTTGAGTTGATTGCAACTCAATTCCTACAAATTAATTTAGTTATAATTTAATCTCTAAATTTTGACATAGTGTAATACAATCATTATAATTTTAACTATTTTAATAATAAATTTATTTTATTTTTTATAATTTTATTTTTTAAAATACAGGGCCTGATATTTTAAATAAATAAAACTATAAAGATTAAGTTGTAATAATCAAAATATAAGGATTAAGTTATATCAAATTAAAATTTAGAGATTGAGTTTCACTTCAATCAAAACTATAAAGAGCCAAATGATTAAGTTTTTCCTTAAAAAGAATGAGCTGGACTTATAGCGATCCAATATTTAAGTTTATTTTTGCCTAATCTGCCTTCATTATGGCCTTTTGATACTAACTGCATTTGGCATATCAATTTCTTATAAGGTTAAGGTGAGATCCGTAAATTGTTGATGCGTGATTTATGTGTTTAGAGTGGAAATCGGTGATCACCCATAATCGGTGATCACCATGATGATTACTCTTGAAATCTAAAATCCAATTATTAAAGGCCACTTTTCAAGCATTATGATGTTTTCTAATTGCCACGTCATGATTAGTCCCAGACTCAAAATTTGATGATGTCGAACAACATAAACGGCAAATTACATACATCGTAAATAACTGTAGTTGGAAGAGCGGAAATGTGGAATAAATCTGATTTTTCTTAATAAGGTATAATGTCTAAACATTATTGGGAAAAGTGAATAGACTCAATAGAGAGTTGTCCTGTGTTAACTCAAGCTGAAGAAGTGAAGGATTTCGAAATTCAAACAGCTGTATATAGGAAAAAGAGAAAATTACATTATATCATTATTATATTTGTAAGCATTTTGGTATCTTGGTCAAATATTTTTAAAGTTTATTTTCTTAATTTTTTGTTTTTATGTCACGATTCAGAATCATGTTGATTATTTTTTCACTTGAAAAAAGCTTCAATAATTCTCAATATAACATTAATTATTGAGTTAAACTCATTATTTACCTTAAAAAAAAGAATAATAAGGGGTAGAATACATGAATTTACATTATATTATATTGCTCTAACTCATTCTCACAGTCTCACTTTTCATCTTCCTTCTCTCTTATTTGAAAGTTAAACGCATTGTCAAGTATAAGTATCAGTGTTGTGTGTGACTTTAGATTATCAATGCAACATCTTTAAACGTTGTTAAACTTTTGTTTATAATTTATATAATTATTTTGATTTTTTTATTAACCAATTGATATCATCAATCTTGATTATATATTTTTGTTAAAAATATATTATTACCTCACATAAGTGTCAATATTCAAATACTATTCTAATATATATATATATATATATATTTCAGTCTACACGTTAAGTTTTGCAAATAATTTTGCCTTAGCCCTCACTGTTTCTTTACACGTCACGTCCTGTCTTGATGGGCACAGACAAATCAAGCACGGTTGGTATTTTATAGCAATTGCTTTCGAATGGTTGGGCTCTCGTCCATTTTATTGTAACATAATTGTAATCTCTACGCAGCCTTGTTTACCTAAGGCCTCAAAAACATTATTTATATACAAAACCTATTGATTTTTCTTCTTAGAGTTAACTAATGCATCATGATCTTAATTATAATATAATATATTATTTGTTGTTTCCATAAGTGAGATCTTATCACTCATTTATTAGAAAGCTAGGGGAAAAATAGCTTTACATATGTTTTGAAATTAAAAAAAACATTGAAATGAATTTTTTTGACAGTCACTATTGAAAGAAATGTAATCAATTAACCTAGTCTTAATGAATATTGTATCATTCAATAATTATAATACATTCTGGTCAAAATAATAATAATTATAATACATTAAGTTGTTGTAATAATTTTGTCTTAAGTCTCCAAATTTCTTCAAACGGACCTTATCTCTAGCGTGAGGTTTTTCAAACCTATACAATTGATAAATGATTTTATATTTATTATATGAGAATGCAATGAGACTTACGAACTCTTCACATATAATACAACTAGTCTCAGTTGAGTATATCATTTTTCTTCATCTTCTTTATTTATTAACATAAGTATGCTTCAAAAGAAAATTAGTTCACTGTAGCAAACATATTTAGAATTATAGCGAAAAAAGACAATCTATAGTAAAACAACGTAACGCACTAAATCTTCAACGATAGTAATTTTGTTACGTTGTAGTTTGCTAGTTACTGTTTCGAGATATTTCTTCCCTGCACCATGTTTGGCTTCACAATTTAATGCCAACAAAATGTGGTTTCGATATACACTTGCAAGTCTCTAGGCAAGTTTTTACTTTTTACCAAGTAAATCAAATGGCGTACGTCATGCACATTTAATTTACATCCAAATTTGCGGACCATAGTGTTAGTCACCGGAATTTCAAAACCATTTGACTGAAGAAATATTAACTGCAATCATAAAAACCAAACTAAAACTAAATACACTCTTCACGCGTATTTTTACATTAAATTCTTATTATTAATATTTTAACACATTAAATCCTAGTTATTCATTCATTCATTATGCTAGTTTAGGATGATAAATATTTTGTAAGGAAGCCTTCAACAAATTCATTTGTTTAAGTAAAGAATTTGAATTTTTGAGTACTAGACAAATTTCTTAACGACTTGGATAAAAAGAAGCAGAGTTTATGAGTTGTACGCGGATTAGGGTGTGATGTTTATATTTAATTCACTTTATTTTTTTGGCCAATATAATTCACTTTATTTGATTCTGATTGGTTACCATATATCTTGTGATTTAATTTTTGGCCTAAAGACATGTGTAGATATTTATAAAGCATAGGAGTATTTTTTTTTTTGGTCATGGAAGCATATCTTATTTTGATTGTAGCTCATATTGATATGATACATAAAAAATTATTGAATTTTAATTTCACCAATTTTTTTATTAATATTTATTCTGACAGGAATTAAATCATTTAGAAGCAAAAATTTCAAGAATTAACTAAAATTTAGGAAAATTAAGATGTTTAGATGGCTCTTTCCTGGAACGATGCTTTTAGTCTTTACTCTTAAGGTATATAAATTCCTGGATGAGATCCGAAGGATATACCTCCTGGCGGCCTTCGATGATAAGCCAAACCTCGATGTCCTCAACAACTTAGAGAGAGAAACAGGCGGAAAGAGAGAGAAAGAGCTTGTTCATCTTAATCCTATGCTGCTTTCCTCCAATTCTCATGGAATCGAATCCCCAAACATCAGGTTCGTAAAACCGCAAATTTTCTCGTGAAGCTCGAACATTTATTTTCCGACCTCTCACCTTTCTATGCACTGTTCGTCCTTGATTGCATCTCTAATTCGTTTAGCTAGGGGATCGATTTTAGTTCGATGTTGATGAATTTGCCATTTCATATAGGTCAGATTGTTTTGGTCTAGCAATTCTGAAAGTTGGCACTGTTTGGTAGGGTGCACTTCATTGCCGATAAGGATTTTTTAAAACTTGACTTTAAATTGTTCATACTTAATTGTTTTGGATGGTCATATATTGTGAGACGATGTTTATTTACTTGTTGTGAACATCATGAAAGATGTGTATGGAAGGGTTTTCTGTTCTGGTGGTTGAGTCTAATATTCATTTGGTTCCCGGATGCCATTCTGAAATCTGAAAATAATTATTTTGTTGCTTGCTGTTCTCAAATATTAGAAGCATCTGTACATCATCCATTTCTTATTCACATCCCAAAGATTGAACATTCTGATATGTTTTTTTTATGTGAATGCTATGATGAATATTCCATCCTCTAAAAAAGTCTCTTTTAAACGATTCTCTTTGCTAACCAGTCACAGGTTAACTTCACTTCTGCAATATTATGGAAATCTGGCCTTCATTGTGCGTCTATTATTTGTTTTCTGTCCCCCCCAACCCCCACCCCCCCCCAAAAAAAAAAAAAAAAATTACATACCTATATGTAGCACGATATATCGTGCCATGTGGTGCTGTGTGAAGGATCTTTAGAGTACATCATCCCGTCCAACTCTCAGTGTTAGTTGTAGACATTACATTTATACAATCGAATGAGATGATCGTGTCACTGTAAACAGGATTCTTTGCTTCACTGGTTGAGGTCAACGTACCTTGAATTGTTTGGTTTTCAAATTCTTGATCCTGTTGGTCCTTGTGGATGCTTACCGTGATTCTTATCTTACACCCGCATTCATAGTAAATTTGGTTGAAACCCCCTCCTCCTTCTCCCCTCTGAAAACAAAACCTCCTAAAGAATTACTTGACTTTTTCTTGGTATGAATAAATTTGTGCTTTGCAGCTAGTAGTCCTCCACCAAAACCATGGGAGCGTGCAGGATCCTCATCTGGCCCAGCACCTTTTAGACCCCCATCAGCTGGCAACACAAGTGATGTAGTTGAGGCTTCAGGGACTGCAAAACCTGGGGAAATAGTTTCTAGTTCTGACAGGACTGCAGCTGTTAACAGGAATTCTCTTGGGAGACCAGTTCCCACAAGGCCTTGGGAGCAGAACTACGGAAACAACACCTATGGAGGTATACTGGGTTTCCTTCATCTTCTTTCGTTTTTTTTCTTTCTTCATTTATTTCTACAAATATTTTGACTTTTCTTTTATGCTGCAGGTTATGGTTCTACAGTGAATAATTCTGGCTACGGGTCTGGAATGTATGGATCTTCTTATGGTGGATTAGGAGGGACGTATGGTGGAGGAATGTATGGTAACAGTTTGTACAGGGGAGGATATGGCGGGCTTTATGGATCATCTGGTGGAATGTATGGAAGTGGGATGTATGGAGGTGGGATGTATGGAGGTGGGATGTATAACAGTGGCTTTGGTGGCCCAATGGGTGGTTATGGCATGGGCGGCCCTTTTGGAGGTCAAGATCCCAATGATCCATATGGTGCTCCTCCATCTCCACCAGGATTTTGGATTTCTGTTCTTCGTGTGGTGAGCCATATAATTCTTTGGCTAAATTAATTTGCTGCAGTATGGATATGCACAACTGACATGAGCTTGCATTTCTACCACTTCGGATGATTAAATCATGAAGTTATATAATAGTTTGTCATTGACAATTTATTGCCCAATATTTATGTGCTCATGCTCGTGTACAACAACAACAACAACAACAAGCCTTTATCCCACTAGGTGGGGTCGGCTACATGGATTGCAAGACGCCATTGTGCTCTATCATTTATTAAGCTTTTAGAAATATTATTAATTAAGAGATCACGTTCAACAACTTCCAAGAGTGTTCTCTTAGGCCTTCCTCTACCTCTCTTAATCGGACTCAAAGTTATATGTTCCACTCTTCTCACTGGTGCCTCCCTTGGTCTTCTTTGTACATGCCCAAACCATCTCAACCGATTTTCTACCATTTTTTCCTCAATAGGTGCCACCCTCACTTTTTCACGTATGTGCTCATTTCGAATTTTATCTTTACGTGTATGTCCGCACATCCATCGTAACATTCTCATCTCTGCTACTCCAACTTTATGCTCTTGCTGTCCCGTTATAGCCCAGCAGTGCTCATGCTCGTGTGTGTATTAATAATACTATCCATATTTTCTTTGTAAGCTGATGTGCCATGACAAAGATTCTGAAACTCATGTTTGAGTTGAAAATTTGAGATATTAATTAGGTGTGTCATTGCGTTGTGTGTCCAAATTCAACAGACTGGGATAATGTTATTGATTTTAGCTGGATTAGCAATTTGATATGGAACATCTTGTTATTAGGAATTAGCAGAACAGGGTCATCAAAAAAGCGGAAGAAATGGACTTGATATGTTGTATGCATTCCCATTCTCTCTTTCTCTCTTCCCCCTCCACCTTTTTTTTTTTTTGAAAAAACATTAGTGAAATTTTTAATTTTGATACAAATGTGGTTTTATGATGTTACTTTGAAACTGCTTTGTAGTATGTTTTACTTATTCTGATTTAATGGCAGATGCAAGGTGTGGTTAATTTCTTTGGTCGGATATCAATCCTCATAGACCAGAACACGCAGGCTTTCCATATGTTCATGACCGCTCTTCTTCAGGTTTTATCTCCCACCCATTCTCCGTCAATTTACATGATTTTGTTTAATTATAACTAATTGTGCATTTTTTTTGTTGCTGTTTGGGTAAAATTCAACCTTGAATAAATAGATGATACTGAGATTCAGTTTTGTGGTGTTCGCTACTAATTTTTCCAGGAAAAAATGATAAGCTGAATCTTTTTTTCCAGTTCAACATCCAGATTATATTTTTCCAAAGAATATTCTCCATGTATTGTGTCTTTAAATGGAGCCTAATAGCAAACACGATAGGAGTTTTACCTAAAATGCAGTCATAAAAATCATATAAGCGTTAGTGTTTGAGGTTGCCGTGAAACCATTGCCTTGGGGAGTTAAATAACTTAAGCGAAGGCTGTCTTTGGAAGGATTCGTTTTTCATGGGTTGGTTTTATGTTTGGGAATGTTTTCTTAAAAGTTAAACTGTTGAGTTGTTTTGTTGTTTGGGTATTTGCTGTGAAAGTCTTTTTTTTTTTTAAATAAAGAAAGTCACTTTTAAATATCAAATTATGTAAAGGGTTATTTGGTTATGGATGTGATGTCCTGTCCTGACTATAAAATAAATACTAGGGTTAGTAGGTCAAATTTTGCTTGCTTGATAATAGAATTATTTTGGCTAAATACAATCCAGTCCTTGACTGATTCTGCCAAATTCAATATCTACAAGAAGTATTCCAACAATTTAAATTTGTAGCCAAATCTTTTCATTCACTATGAGTGTTTTGAAAACATATCCAATTACATGGCATTGATGGACGTCATGTCCGAAGTAGCAGTTTACCATTCTGATTTTAAATTTGTTGTTGATTAACGATAATTTGTTTTCGCTGAAGTGGCACACATTTATTTGTTTCTTTACAATGTTTCATGGTTTCTGGGTCTGTTTGGCAGCTTTTTGATCGCTCTGGGATGTTATATGGAGAGCTAGCAAGATTTGTGTTGAGACTGCTTGGGATTAAATCAAAGCCTAGGAAGGTGAACCCACCTCCACATGGTCCAAATGGACTTGCTCTGCCAGGACCATCAAATCCCCATGAAAACCTCAATAGCATTGAGGGACCTAAGGCTGCTCCAAATGCTTCTTGGGACAACGTTTGGGAGAATGACCCCACTAAATGATCTCTCCTCAAATTGGTTTTGCTTACATCCGATGGCAGTCCTATAGAAGCAACACAACCGTTCAAAGGGGATGATGACTTCATGTACTTTTGAGATTTGAGTTGTATGTTTTGCTGGGGTAATGCTTTTTTGTTAGCATAGATGTCGTGAAAGATGTATAAGGAGTGCCGTTGAAACGGGAATATAGTGTATCAATCAAGAAATTTATAAGCATGTTTTCCTGATAGCATGTATGCCATGTGTAATTTATAAATTGATTAATATAAAATATAAAATCTATAATAAGTTTTATTTACAAGATGTAAATAGAAGACTCTTTGTTGCAGTGCGTACTGACTTGCAAAAATTTAGGCGAATGAATTAGAATTTTTGGTATTGCTTGTTCTAAGCTCTGAGAAGCCAAAAATACAATAATCTTCGTTCAAGCCATTGGTCTCGTTAATTCACTTCATCTTTTACTAGTTACTCTGTATCCTCCTGCCTTTGCATTTGGGGCATCTCTTGTGAGCGCTTGTCAGACTGGGAGCAATCCTGGTCCATCATTTTACTCTAAAATGTAAAATGATTTATGTCATTCATTTAAATTAATTTTTGAATACTTTTAATGTTGTATTTTTTAATATAAAAAATATAAGAGAATGTAATATTAAATCTAGTCTATCTTTAGTGTTCATCAGGGAATGATCAACATGATACTCATCATTCCTTTTGAGATTGGACCATTCAAATGTAAATTTATTCTATTTTATATTTAGTAAAATAAAATTTATAAAAAATATAACAAATTTTAACAAATTTGTTCATTATCAATTTAATCAATACAGATTTAATATTAAATTTTTTTATAATTTTACAATTTAACCATCTAAATAAACTTCGTACAATTCAGATATAATTTGAATAATCTAATTTAATATTAAAAATTTATAAATTAACCATTTTAAATGTGCTTTGGATAATCCAGAATTATTTTTAAATTTTTTTATATTTTTATATTAATAAATACGATATTAAAAATATTTAAAAATTAATTTAAATAAGTGACAAATATCATTTTAATGTTTTATAGTCTTAGCCTGGTGCTCATCAATGCACACGCGCATCCTCACTTGTATTTTTTTCATTTATTAATGAAATCCGGCCTTTCCAAGTTAATTGTAATCATCATGTAGAGGACATGGATACTATTTGAAGCCTCAAAATTAAAGACAAGCTAAGTCCAACTAATGATTTCAATATTCCAGATTTTAACTTTAAATTAAATTATGATCGATTATCTGATAATATATTTTTTTTAAAATGTAGCATTTTACTATAAAAATGCATCGCAAATATAGTTTTTAAAGCTCTTTTTTTTTTCCTAATGCCAACAAATTGTAGTTGACTTATTATAATTAATTTAGATCATTGTATAAATTTTTTATAAAAAAATTTAAATAAAATTAGAAAATATTTAAATATTTTGATCTATTATGTAAAAATATAATATAAAAGGAAACTAAAATAAACATACTATTAATATAAACTAGAAAATTATAAAAAATTTTAAATTCAGAAAATTTAAATTGTACTACCTCCATTCAAATTTATAAGGTACTTAAGACAAAATTATGCAGATGAATAAAGTTAGTTAAATGTACTTTACAATTTAATTTTTTTAAAATAGAAATATAAACTTCTAAAAAGCCTTTCATTTAATAATATATTCATGAAAGAATATTAAGGAGAGAGAAAATATTAAGGTAAAGGTAATATTAAAAAAAGCATAATGAATAAAAATATATTTTTATTAAAAGTATCTTATATTTTAAAATGTTAAATTTTTTTAAAAATAATTTATAAATTAAATATGAGGAAATATATAAGTTGGTTAGAAAAAGAATGCTATAAAGATTTTGACTTATTCTAAGGACATAACATGAGTCTGTTTGTTTAAAATTTAAAAATAAATAATTTTTTAATAGTCTAAATAACTTATAAAAAGACATTTATTTTATAAAAATTTTATTAAAAATTAAATATTATTTTATATTAATTATAATAATAAAAATTGATTATTAATTTATTATTTTTAAATTTTATAAATATATTCCTTAATTTTTGTTTTATAAAAATAATTTATTATTATATTGTTTTAAAATTTTATAATATATTTGTGTATTAGGTCTTTTTTTCTTTCTCATCTATCATATTATTATTTTTAAATTACTCAAAATAAATTTTTAAAATAATTAAAAATATTATATTTTTTATATTTTGATTTTTTAAAAAAATTTAAGCACGATAGATTCTTTTTAAAAAATAAGTAATTTTTTATGAAATAAAATAAAATAAATGAGAACAAAATAAAAAATTATTTGAACTTAAAAAATTGTAAAAAAATTAGAATTTAAATAATTCAAATTAAATAAGGAGGATGGATGTATTGAATAATTGTTTTTCATCATGACCACAGTTAATATTATTTGTAAATAAAAAATAAGATCGAGTAGTTAGTTTATAATAAAATAATTTTTTCAAACTTTATTTTATGTTGATTGATTTATTATAATCAAATCAAATCGATCAATTATTATTAACATTAATTTTTGTGCATTTATTTTGATTAAAACGATAATGACAAAGTTTTCTTCAAAATTAGTATGCTAACCAGCAACCAGGTCCGGATGACCAGCGCAAACATTTGCCCTAATTCATTCATTTAAAACGACGCCGACTTCAATCACCAGTCACTCTCCACTATACTATTCCTTTACCTTCACTCCTCCCGCCACCCACTCGTAAAAACTAGCACAGTCAAACTCGTTGCCGGAGCTATCAGATTGACGTCGGCGACAAGAAGGCAGGCATCTGTATTGAAATAAAACCGCCGTCGGCGTAGGTGCCACAGGTCACCTCCTCTAGCCTCCGGCTATCCTCTTCCACGCGCGGCAAGCCTTGAGATGAAGGTGGCTCCATACGCATAGAAACAGAAGCAATGGGAAACTTTTTCTGTGCGCCAATCTTTTTGTATGTTGCTCTCTTTGTCAATAAAGTGATTCGCCATCATTATTTACTCGTGAGCGTGTAGGCGGTCTAAGTTCCTGTGAACGAGTTTTTCTCGCTCCTCTGAACATTTTTTTCGGAGCAGCTCGTTCTCTCTTTTCTCCCATGGAACTAGAGAAGGTAAGCCCTGAGTCCTTTCTCATAATTGAAGGAAGGTGATTTTTGTTGTATGTTTCTTTGTTGGATGATAATATGTGGGTTGAGCGAGGGTAGACACTATAGCAGATGATTGGTCTCGAGTGTGGTGGATTTGACTCTTAGCATGAATATGTTTTTCGAGGACTTGAATGCTTGTGTGTTCTGTAGTATTGTCTGATGTGTACGCCAAGTGCTTGTCAAATTGCTTAAAGGAGAAACTCAATTTAATTATATGCCTAGTCATTTATAATTGTAATTTTTTCTTGGTTTTAATCGTATGACATTCATTCTCCTTATTTACTTGAAAGTGTCAAAGTGGTATCCTTATTTGAATCTTGTTAGATTCCCAATATGATGCTAAATGCTAGTTTAGATATTAAATTATTTTTATCTTCAACTGAGTTTACTAAAGTGATGTGAGTCTTGAATGAAAACTAAGTCTGGTTGACTACGGTGAATGCTGTTTAATGTTAATATAGAAGCCTACTTTTTTTGCTGTCAGAAATAGGGTGAAATGCTTGGTGCGTGACAATCCTTGATCACTTGCATCAGATTGACCAGTCTTTGATGTTATTACATGACATGTTTATGCATGAGAGTTGTCCATGGCTTCCATTTTTTTTTACTGGCACTTGCTCTAGTTAAGTAAATGAATCAATGTTAAAGACACATTTGATGAGGTTTTTGATTTTTGGAAACATCCATTGAAGTACCTTTACTATGTCAAAAGCGCTGTAGTAAGTTGGGCTTCGAGTTTTTCTTTAATCCAATGAGTAGTTTCTTTCATAGGTAAGCCTGCATTATTTTGCATGGCAAGTTTTATTCCTTTTTATTGTATGGTTTTGCTATTTTAGTTGTAGCTCAGAGTCACAAGCAGGATTCCCCACCCTAGTATAGGATACATCAGATGATAGTAAATGAAAGCAGAGCTCTCCCTATTGTATTGCTGTTGGTGCTGCAGAAATTATTCGACGTTCTATTTTTAGTGGACACCAGCCAAAATTGCTGTAGAAAATTTCAAGTGATTCAATTAAGAAATTGAAGTCACTCAGTATGGATTTGGCATTTAATTTGGTTTGTATTCTTCCATTGAATGTAGTAGTAGTTGAGTTCAATGGTGTAATGAAATATAAATCTAGCAATCCTTTTAGGGTTATGATATGAGATTTGTCTTTGTACCTGTGCCAGTCACAGGCATGTTCTAAATAATGCCTGGAATTAATGATATATTATAATTGTGTTATGATATGATATTTGTCTTTGTACGTATGCCAGTCACAGATCCAGATTCTGGTGTGTGACACGACCCAAAATCTTTTCCCCCTGGGCTCTGAATTTACTGTTGCTTAGTATTGAAATTTTTGTGGGCAATATTTTAAAGGAGCTGTGCAGTAGATATAACGATGGTGAGCTGCTATTCTACTGTGGGGTCACCTATTTCTAACGTTGTGAATGGATTTGATATCCAGGCCTCTCTTTTTAAAAATGTGGTTCATCGATCAGATGCTGGATTAATTGTGTCCGAAATCAAGCATGATGAGAAACATATTCAACTTAAGAAAAGGTATTTCTTTCTTTCCTTAATTTGTTTTAATGCTAATTATCCCCTTCTCACTCTGACTAGTAATTTGATCCGGTGTAGGTGGTTGTTGGGCATTGCTGCTACAAAATCTGATCAAAAGCGCTTCAAGAAGTCTGAGTTTTTAAAAGATAGGTTTTTGCATGAGTCCTTGCTTAGGGAAGATGATGTAAATATTTCCTTATTCTCTGCCACCTACATATTCCATTGATTCCGCTTTACTTTACACAAGCCAATAGTATGCTCCATCAAAGTATGTTCTAAAGAATATACCTGAACAAAAAGCATGTTCTAAATAATGCCTGGAATTAACGATATATTATAACTGCGTTATAAAATTTGCATTGTAATGCATCATGTTCTTCGTTTGAATTTTTGGTGGATTGCTGGTGTATGAGCAGTGTAACACCTCCAGCTATGCAGGTGGTTTGGCTTTTTATCATGTGGGGAACGTGACATGTTGACATGTTATAGAAAATTGTAAATAATTACTTTTAGTGTCAGTTAAATTTACTCTCTTAATCCTTGGGGGTGTGCTGATAGCTGTCACATATTTAGTCTTTTAGTTGGTAGAAGTTCTCAGCGTTATTTAAATCCCTAGATAGTTTGATATATAAACTTTCAATTGAGGCCTATACATTCTTTAGCTTGAATGAATTCTTCATATGAAGTTATTGAAGTTTTTACCTCAGAAAGGAAGTGGATATTTGTTCCCACACACTCTACCTTCTAGTTTACTGAGATATTCTCCTTCTATAGGCTGTCTTGAAGTTTGATGGTTTATCCATAAATAGTAGATATTCTTGTAGCATAGCATTTTCATTCTTTCACTAGTTCTAGTGTCAATAACCGATGCATATGGATTTACCCCTTCACAAACTTCTCTGCTATCTACATAACATGGGCTGATTGAAAGTAAAGATATGGGCACATTTGATTGCTAAAAAGAATGGAAATAGAATTGATTAAAAAAATTAAAAAAAATGAATTGAAACGCCCTCCTCTCATGGTAGCATGATAAAATCCAATATTACATACCATAAATGTGGGAATTATCACATCCTCCACAAACTTCATGAATCATGATTCTTAACCTCATGAATAGAGTTGGGAAACGGGCGGGCCCGGCCCTTATGGGCCCGACCCTTAAGGGCCCAATTTCCTTAAAATGCCTCATTTTTTAAAACCCGGCCCTTATATAAAGGCTTAGGGCTAGGCTCGTAAGCCCTTATTAATATTTTTTTATTTTTTAAAATTTTAAAAAATTAAAATTTTTAATTATAATATTTCATATATTTTTAAAAAATACAAATTATAATGTTTAAAAATTAAAAATAAATAATAGAAATTCTAATTTTAAAATTTAAAGTATAAACATATATTTTAAAGTTTAAATTCAATTTAAAGATTAAAACTATTTTATTTTTTTAAGGGGAAAATAAAAATAGGCTTAAAAGGGCTACCCGAGGCAGATGCTGTTTTTTCAGGGCTTACTAGGGCCAGGCTTGAAAGCTTGATTTCCTTAAAAAATGTTATTTTTTTCAAGCCCAAACTCTTATAAAAATGGGCTTAAATGGGCGGCACTCTAGGCCTGGCCCTTATTCCCGACTCTACTCATGAACTAAATTACCCTTCCCTCTTATAAACATGGTTGACTTATCTTCCCTTCACATTTTGCTTATTATCTTTTCCCTTTATTTTTTTTAATCCATTCTGTTCTCATCTTTTCTAGTAACCAAATAGGCCCTATGTTTGTTACCACCAGTCATATCAGACAGGAAGACACAATGTGATGCTTCAAACTGCACGGACACTATAATAATTATTCTTCTGTTGTGTAGTAACTAGCAAAGATCACTGACGTTTCTGGTATGTAAAGATATGTAATGAAATTCTTAAAATTGACGATATTTTCTTTCCATTGAATGTTTTCTTCACCTGTTCAATATTTCTTAATGGTTATCAAGGTTACTTTGTGCTTTTGTAGATTTGCTTTGGTTTTGTATTCGTTATGAGATTATACAATTTGTCTTTCCTGAGAGCCTTCTATTTCTTCCTTCATTATTTTCAATTGATCTATTAAAATAATATTTATAAGGTACTCAAATTGAGAAAGCTTAAAAATATGGTAGCATGAATTCATATGTTCATATATTTATAATTACTAGTATGGTATTTTTTTTCTTTGCTTCTTGATTTGGATTAATTCTGTCCTTTTGGAGTAAATCTGTGTTCTTTGTTAAACCTGTAAACATTCTTATTGTATACATGTGCAACTGTTTTGAATAGAAGCAGGCTTCAAAACTTCAAAGCTATTTAGAAATTTCTTGCTAATTTCCGATAGATAAACTTGGAAACCTTTCTCTTGTTCTTTACTATAACCAATCTTTCACTGGCTGAGTTTCTGAATTAAGAGGTTTACTTCTTTATGACTATGTTATATATGCTTTATAATCCAAAAATATTTTCTAATGGGATTCTAACAACTATTTCAGATATTTTATGAATCAGCAAGAACTTATGTTGAAGGTATCTTTGGGGAATGCCATATTGAACGAGAATTTAATGTTATTCAGGATGAGATGTTATCTGTTGACATAGCCATCATTAAGAGGATGATATCATGCCTGGATATGATGACCACCAAAGGCCTATATCTTCTTGCCATGATAATTACTGGTGGTTCAGTCAAGTTTGAGAAAACTCGTTGCAAATTGAAGAAGATTGTCAAGAGTTTTCTTTCAAATGCTCTTGGCAACCAAAACCATAATTGTTCCCAACTGGAAATTTTCAAACAGCTTTTTGGACTTATCAATAATCAACAGCATTTTCGACATAATTGCAAACCCTTATCTGCTTCAAGATCCCAATATAAACATTGTGCCATAAAAAAGGTATTGGATGGCTTAAATCACTTTCCCCATCAAACCCTGATGGCAATGCGAAGAAAGCTTAGGGGAGTGAAAGCAACCATGCCTCAGTTACGGACTAGCAGAAAGGGATGGAGACAAAGAAAATTGGTGGGTGAAGTAGTGAGGAATATGATTATGAAATGCTTTCTCAGCTTGATGAAGGAGATGAACTACAAGAGCCCTTAGCCAGAGCAATGGCGGTAGCTGACTTATCACTTAAACTTGTGACACATCGTAATGGTATATTTTCAGAGGAATTTTACCAATTCTCATCTGGAGTAAAGTCCTTGCAGAATGATATTATGAAAGCTATATGGTTAGTTGAAAAAGAAGTGGGAATACAAGAGCTGAGAAATTTGCAGATCCTTTTAGAACCAAAGGCTAAAGTATCAAATAAGATACTACGGCCAGCTTTTACAGAATTGTTGACTGAATTTCTTTTCGAGTGTGATGATGTGGAGAGAATACCAAAGAGTCTATTTAAGATCTTAGATTTCATTAACGGGACTTCGGGTGTTAAACCTCTTCAATTGTTACAGGAGAAGAAGGAGAAAATTGAAGAAGAGGTTGATTGCATATTAAGTGTCAGTGCTCAGACAAAACAAATTGTTTTGGATTTGTTGCCTGACTATGGGTTTGAGGAAGATTTTGCTGATGCATATGTGGAACAATTAGAAGAAAGTGAAGATGACTATGATGATTGTCCAGTAGGGGAAAATAGACACGTCATAAATGGCAACTGTGATTCAATGGATTCAAAATACAAATCAGAAAGTATTGGGCAGTTTGTACCCTTTGGTTTCAATCCAGCTTCCTCTATGGCTGGCGAGAGAAATTGCAATTCTTCAACAGTTTCACCTGAGAGAGTGTTAGGTGAAAATTTTGTTAAAAGACATAATTTGATTGAATGTAATGCTGGGATGGATCCGGGAAACGTAGCAACAAATTTTTCATGTGAGGCAGCAGAACCGGAGCCAACAAAGAACATGAGAGAGAACCAATACCTTACCATTCAAGATGCTTGTGATGAGACAAGTCTGCTTACTCATAAACTTATAGGTCGTGTGTTGTGGGAGTTTGCTAAATTTGAAGGCCTGAATCTAAATGCGAGTCAGAGTTTATACTTGAGAGGTGATAATGATACTAAAGATGCGAAAGGTATTATCAGTTTCTGATTTTCTACCATTTTGCCTGTTATAAAAGACTGAAATATTTTATCATAAATCTTGAATATTCCCTACTCACTACTCAGTATTTACATACTGCTATTGCATGTCATTGTATTTGAAATTTTGGTTTATGTCATAATTGTTTTGGATATGTAACTCCTTTCTGCACAAGTAAATTGTAATTGTCAGTCCACGGGTTCCTGTTTTTACTGCATAAAGTGACCTTTGACAAGGTAGTATGTAATGTCAAGATTATATGTATTTTATACACACACACACACACACACACAACATCTACAGCAATCAATATTTTATCATAGGGAGTAATATTCTGTGATTCAACAGAGGATTTAAAGTAGTATCTTGTTCTTGTATAACAATTGACGTTTGTAAAATTAGTTGACCATTTGTATGTAATAAAGTAATGTTTTTTCTAATTTAGAAGTATACTTTACAATTATCTTATGACCTATTAATGGAGTACAAGACAAATGATGGATTGATGTAAACTTATGCATGATTATTTATGATTAGAACTTTTAACCCAATGGTGGATTTTGTTAGAAACTTTTCCTATAAAAAGTTATTTAAGGAAGTAAGACTAATTCTTATTGCTGCAAGTCTCAATTGTCTATGCTCATTTAAATAGGATTGAAGAAAATTGTTATTTTATGTCTATGCATATCAATACGTATCAGTTATATCTTAAGTTCCATGATGATAACATTGCGTTGGTGTAAAATTAAAATGTAGATTTAGCAAGTTACATACTTCAAACAAACATCTTAGTGGTTATTGTTTGAGTTTCTTACTCTGAACACACGTCTGACTGCAATACTTGTATTCATATGGTTAACATGGTTTCTAATGTTCAATTTCATGCACTAGCAGCAGAACAGTCATCATCATCTGAAAAAGACGCCAGAAATTCAGCTATTGTTCGTATAGTAAAAGAGCTGGTCCCTTCCTTTTCAGATAGGTAATTTTGACTTTGCTTCTTTCCCCTAGTAGATTCATCTATGCTGGTCTAATTATAGGATTATCTGTAAATGGTGTGGATTTGTGTTTCCTGTTGATTCTTGCTTGAAAATTTCTATCTCTTTGCAACTTGTGGAGGGCAATTCCGATTCAAATTCAACTTATTACATTCTTTGATAAGAATTTTCACAATATAGATATTTGTTGATTTATAAAATTCAACTGTAAAAAAGTGAAGCTTTTAAATCTCCGTTCTTTCACCGTCTTTCTTTGTTTGTTTGTTTTTGGCTGAAAATCTCAAGTATGTTGTCCATTGCCAATTACAGTGCCATGGAAAGACTGAAGATATTGATTGACTCATGATAATGTTCTTCAGTCCCAGATTATAAGGGGGTCAACAGGGGAACGGCGTTTTGAAATACTTTCAGCTATGTATTAGCCTCATCAAGTGGTGAGGTTTTAGCAAGCTCGCTCTTTGCCTTGCTCATCCCTAAGGAATTTCCATGTAAGGGGATCTTGATCAGTTGCAAAATACTATGATAATCACTTTGAAAGTCAAGTCCAGCAAAGAAAAAACTACGGTATGTTTATATGATGGATTTTTTTTACTAAATGTATCATTTGCCTACGTGTGTGATTCTGTGGCCAAGCTGTTTGTAACTTAAAATGTTGTTGCATATTTTAATGAATTGTACCTTTTCCCCCTTCTATTTGTGTGTTTTTTTTCCCCCACCAAAGACAAGCATTTGATATAATTAATAATGTATTTGATATATGACGTTGGAGATTGGATTTCCCTATGTAAGAAAGTAAAAGCAGAATACTGAGATAGTTTCGATCATCACTTAGTAAGTTCAATGCCTGCCCTTTCAACGTATTGGCGTTATAATAGTTCAGCTACTCTTTAGTTTCATTTGACCTAAACCGTGGTTGTCTAGTTAGGACACTTACTAGTCGCCATCATGTGAAATATTTTTACTCCCCAACTCTAAATCTTATATGTTAGTCCATATTATGAGATTTCTGACGCTGGATTTATGCATTTTTATCAGGAGTTGATGCAGGAGATGGAGAGGCATTTTGGATCAGAAAGCAGAGATTTTAGTACATTTACACGCGACCAGTATTTGGCAGGAAAGATGGTGATAGAAACAGGAAGTTACATGATTTCCCTCGTAAAGTCACACGGGGATGCGTTCCCATCAAGTTGATGAAACAAACTCTTGCGATCCAAGTGCCCTTGAGGTGATAGGACATGATTTCGGCCGAGCCAAGTGCTATGTTTGTGTGTTTTGGCATAATCATGAGCACTTCTGCAAAGAAAAAGTGTAATCCCGGGCAAGTAACCTCAGACTTGGATTCCCTATGGTGGCTAAATCCAGGCAGTGCTCAAATGCTGTTATAAAGTTAAAATATTTTAAATATAACTTTTAGTCCTTGAATTTTTCCTCAATTATCAATTTAATCATTCACCTTTAACTTGGAACAGTGTAGTCTTTATAGTTTCTTGACTCAAAACAGTTCAATTTTTATAGCTTATTGACTTGAAATAACTATAATTCCTTAATTTTTTTTCCCTTTTGAGTCAAAGTTTAAGAATGAAATTGATAATTAATTTAGTGAGTTTAGGGCTTAGGAACTAGAAGTTATATTTTTTGGAATTAACTTTTCCATCTCTAGTACCCAGCGCCTGAGCATTTGACTTATTTTGACACTTGGGGAATCCAAATCCTTGTAACCTTTGTGATAGTGTTGAAACGCTATAGAGGTAGGTTGCTGCAGTCAACACTGAGAAGAGCTTTTTGAAATGTTGGCGCATCATCAGAGATTCTGAGGTGCTTGTTTGGAAGATTGTTGTTGTCAGTGGATTTTTTTCTTCCTTTTGTTCATTTTTTAAATGACAGGCAGGGCTAAGAGCTGAACTTGGGGGGGGGGGGAATCTCCGAATTCTTATGAGGAGAAACAGTAGCAATAATCGGTGGAATTTTTTCTTGGGGCAGTCCTTGTATTCTTCATCATGAGTACCCCTGGCTTTATTATTGTGATGTTACTTTTAGTGATGAAATTTTAAACCCTGGGGTTTGGATGAAATGATTTGTGCTTGATTGATGATAAGGTGAATAGAATTCTATTCCATTAATCTATTGTTTCAACAATTGATTCAGTTATCAAATAAGTTTGCTCGGGAGAATTTATTCATTGAACTTTATTAAAATTTTGACTCAAAAGTTTAGGAGTGTAGTAGAACAAACTTTGCATTCTAGTGATTAATTTTAATTGACTTGATAGCACCAAAACCAAAACGAACACAGACTGCTATACATACAAGGTGGTTATTTAATTTTATAATGCATAATTAATCAAAAAATTGCTGGTAGTAATTAAGTTATTTTTAGTTCCAAACTTTATTCATTAGACTCTTCAAAATTTAAGGTAAAATATCTTTTTTCAAATGGAATATAACGTCATTAACAATTTATTTATTTATATCAAATAAAAAGGCACTAGGAGTGATCTAGGGTTTGAAAAGTGGATTGTTTAGCAGGAACCCCCGGGTTTATAACTATATTTTTGGACCAAACTTACAAGACGCTTAAGTTCCATTTGTTTAAAATTAAAAAAAAAAACTGATTTTTTAGATAGTTTAAATATTTTACAAAAAAATTATTTTGTAGAAATTTAAAAAAACAGATATTATTGTGTTTAGTTAGAATAATAAAAATGTGATTATTAATTAATTATTTTTAAATTTTATGACATCTTTTTTACTTTTTATTTTATAAAAATAATTTATTATTATATTTTTCTAAAATTTTATGATATTTTTCCATATCTTATCTCTTCAAAACATTTTTTTTCATCTATTACATTAGATTATTTTTAAAAGTTACTCAAAATAACTTCTTAAAATAATAATAAAATTTGCCTTTTTTATTGTAATTATTTTTAAAAGTTCAAACAAACATAATAAAAATTTACAAAATATACTTTTTGATAAAAAGTAATTTTTGGATAAAATAAGTTAAAACAAATGGGCCCTTGATCTCTTATAGGAAGGACTCTAAGCTTGTATCTCCCAAAAGTGATCATCCTGGATCATTTGTCATCACATTTTGGACATCTTTCAAACGCAAAAGTCCTTATGAAAAAGCTCAAAATTTTTTTTTTCATTAAAATGGGAGGGGTAGAAGTAACTTAAATTATTGGATAGTAAGCTAAAAAGTAAAATTACTTGTACAACTTTTCCTTAAGATTGAGATCAAATTACTCTAAGGAAACTTAAAATTTAGCATAATCATGCTTAACAGAGCACAGTTGTATAAAGAATGTTATATCTGTGTCAAGTTAGAACAAATATGGACTACAACATATGTAATCAAGCAAATATATCCTCTGTAAGAAATGCCTGTTCAGTGTCAATACAACTTAAAGAAGGCACTTGAAGGTGCTCATAGTTTAGTTGTCTGGAAGCTTCATATAATGCTATTCCAACACTTACAGAAAGATTCAAACATCTGACATAGGTTTCTACCATAGGGATCCGGATCATCCCGCCACCAAACGGTTCAGAGGTGCAGTCTAGCAGGGCTTCAGATGGCAAGCCACTAGTTTCAGAACCAAATAAAAGGTAGTCTCCTTTTCTGTAGGAAAACTCCTGCAAAGAAAAAAAGAAGCCAAACCAAAATTATTGTTGGCTTATAGTCAATTTCCATGACTGCATGGTTTTGTAGGTAAAAAATATATAATCATTTTAAGCAGAATAAGTAACCTTCTTTGTTCTCTTTCTTCCCAACACTTGGTTCTCCAAACCAAGAAGAAAGGAAGAGAGGGAAGGAGAGAACTCAGAAACCACACCAAAGGTGAACTGATCACATGAGAGTCATCTCAAGATCTTGTTTCAATCAATTTTTTTTCTCCCAGCAAGGCAGGAAATAGTTGAAAAGAGTCATCCATCAATCAAATGTTTATAAGTTTATGCTCCTTTTTCTGATATCAAATAAGAAAATAGAAGTAAAACAGAAATCTGTCTTTTGAATAAACATTCATTTAAAAGGGGGGGGGATCATAGATAGCGTTAAGGACGAAACCTTGGGAGCTGGGAGAATTCAGAAATGATACGCTTATCAATTAGCTAGGGCAAAAATGCATTAGAGAAAGATGCTATCATTGAAAGGAGTAAGACATTCAACATAAAAGACACTCACAGAATGAACTTTTGTTCCCCTTTTAGTAAATGCTAGTAATCGCTTTTCACCATCCTGTTCCAAACAATGGTGAATTGTGGAGTCAAAGAAAGAGCATGATGAATCTTTCTGGTATTTATCTTTGGGAATGATAATTACCCGTTGCCTGAAATAATCACGGAAATCTTCCCAAGAATCATGAACTTTAACAACCACATATCTGCAAACATGCATTAAGTTGAAAAACAAACAAGTGATGTGATTATTGCATAGTCACAAAGCAATGATGCCATCATGTTGATGTTAGAAACAAACAAGTGATGTGCTAAATATGAATAACAATGTATCCAATCATGTCAAAACAAAATTTCAAGAAGGGGGCCCTCCATATTCTGGAAACTTATAACTATATATCAATATTATTGGATAAGATTCAAGTATTATCGAGTTTAATTGGAGATAGTTATCTCAAAAATGTTTTCTGCATTTACAAGTACTTGAACTTGAGACCTGGTGTTTGAGTGGAAAATGTCCATGGCTGAAAGAATATTCTAGGAGAAACAGAAAACTATAAACATATGCCCATGGATACGGCCAGTAATCCAGTCCAGCACGCTTCAGCTTTGTATCATCCACTTGAAATCCCAATGGCTGAAAAGATAGGGAAGTACTACCATGATCAACTGGCAAATTTTTGCAATAAAGCACAAAAATGGAATACAAGCATAGATTTGATCGTAAAAGAGATTACATTTAGAAAGGCAATGCCTACCCCAACTAAATGTAGTCCAACAGCGGAGGCTGCACAAGTTCTAGCAATACATCCAGTGTTTCCTGGTATCTGCCAAGAACAATATAAATCTCAGAGCCACCTTTAGAAATTGAGGTTGTCTGCAACCCGAAGAACAAAACATGGAAACATTACAAGTCTCTAAGTGATCTAAATGATACCAGATATAATGCAGTACAGTAGAGATTTTTTAATCAACAACAATAACATTATCCCATTAGGTGGGGGCTGGCTATATAGATTGTATGATGCAATTATACTCTATCATTCATCAAGTTTTTAGAAATATTGTAAACTAAGAGGCCTCAATCAATAACTTTCAAAAGTGTTCTCTTTAGCCTTCCTCTATGCCTCTTGACAGGACTTAAAATTATCTGTTCCACTCTCTTCATAGGTGTCTCCTATAGTTTTCTTTATATATGTCCAAATCATCTCAAATTATTTTTTACCAATTTAAAATGTTTTAATCAAAGCTAAATAAAATGGATTAATAGATCCAAACTTCTGTGTCGTCCTGGTGGTATAAACATTATTGTTTAATAAATTTGAAATGCACAATCATTTCCAATCAGATTGACTCTACATAAAACTCATTGTTGTGTCAGTAATTAATCCAGAATGAAGATGATGGGTACCTAAATGGGATTGGGAACCCTACTCCAAAAGCTAACTATCAAAATGAGAGAACCAACCTACTTAAATATCTCATTGAGCATCAAATACTGCATAATGTGTGACTTAGTATCTCATACTACTAAGTCTCCGTCAGAAGCATGGATCAACCATGAAAATTGATGATGTCTATTATCAAATCTGAAATAGAGGAAATCCGAATTGCGTGGTTAGGTGCATTCTAACATGTTCAAAACCCAATCTTGCAAATTTCAGGAGCTAGAATGCTCGATGATAAGGAATTTTCTTCCCAATAGCCCTAGTATGGACGATCTGCTTTTGACTGACCCAGGAATTTGGATGATCTGAAGCATGTGCAAGCACAATATAAAACAAAGAAAAGCAACCGAAAGGAAAATTTACAAATAGCTAAGAGAAGTAACAGAAAGGAAAATTTACAAATAGCTAAGAGAAACTAACAACCTAGACTTGGATTGAAAATGTACCTGAGGAGACACCAGCACAACCTGAAGAACCTTGGAATGAGATGCCCCTCCCACCACTGCCTCGCCAACCCCCTGAGGCAAAGTACCTTGACTGTTTATCTCAGCTGCTCCATCTGTAAGCAACAAGAACGTTACACACACCGACTCATATCACATAATTAAACTCACGAAGAGAAATTAACCAGAAATCTGTATTTAGAGAAGGTTCGTAGAGAGATATGGGTGATTACTGAGATAGCAAATGGGAGAAGAGAGGCGGAGAGAGGGAAGAGATAGACGAAGAGTGTGCTTGAAGGGAACTATGTTGAAGGGACAAGAGAGACGAGAAGGTCTTGGTGAAAAATGGAAAGGGGTTGCTATATTCAGAGATTTGAGACCAGTGGAATCCATTACTGAGAGTCCGAGCTCTATCCGTTAAGCCTCCATTGCGTTCTGCTCTTGCACTAGTCTGAGCTTTGATTTCTTTTTGACAGCCTCCAACCTTTTTTATTTTAATATAAAATTAGTGATGTTAATAAAGAAAAAATTACTTTGTTCAAAAAAAAAATTACATTTAGCTCTACCAAAAAAAATTATTATCGAGAGGTTACAAAAATTTTATAAAATACTCTCAAAGTTTAAATTTTGTGCATGAAAAACTTAATTGAAGATATTGAAAATTGAGCAATGATCATTTATAATTTATAAAAAAATGAGAACTTATAATAACAAATTATAAATAATCATTATTTAATTATTAATGTCTTAGTTAATTTGTTAAAACATAGAATTTGATCTTTCAATAATAAACTTCTTTTTATAGGATTTGAATATAATTTTTCTGTTAATAAAACTCAAAGATGTTGCAAACTTAATTTTTTAAAATAAATTTATAAATTTTTAAAAATATCTTTATATAAATATCATTTTAATTTTCTTTTTCACTTAAAGATAATATTAAAAAATATTAATAAAATTTTATTTTTTAATTATCTTATATTTTAAAATAAAAAATATTTTTTAAATTGTCTTATAGAAAGTGGGTATTAGCTCACACCATTCTCAATATATTTATACATAATAGAAAAGTTCTCCAAATTAACCTACAAGCATTTATTTCAGTAAGAGGGTTATCATAATGAAAAATGTTGTGACTACTTAATCAATAATCAATCTTAAATTTTCTTTTTCTTTTTTTTTTGGGAAATAAAAGGCAATAATAAAGCCTTGAAAAGACGGAAGCTGAGTAAAATAACCGGTAAAGATAAAAGCCTACTGCCATGACCATTAAGAACTTTCAAAGGAAGGGGAAAAACCTAAAACTAAGGATAAAAAAAGATAAATAAAAAATTAAAGTTGAGTGTCAATTTTTTAAAAAAAGTACAGACAAAAAATCAAAGCCAAATTATAAAAAAAGCTAGAAATAAACATGAGACGAAAAACTAAATTAAATAGGCTAGTTCATTAGATGAACTGACAAATTAGCCTCCCTTTTAATTTGGTTTTTTGTTCAATTATTATGGGACTAACTCGATCTAACTAGGCTAACCTGATGCTAACTCGAAATAACTTGATGGATTGAATGGATTGGCTAAGTTAACATTTTTTTGGCTGTTTTTAAAAAGGGAGAGAAGTAGAGGCATAAATGACTAAATTTGAAGCTTGGAATTTGGTCTTTGCTTCTTTAGATTCCTTAACTTTGAGGCTCCATCTCTTCTCATTATCGAACTTGTTGAAGTTGAACACCTCACTATCAGTTGCTTCTCATTATTGAATTTCTTTACCATCAAACTTCTTTGCAGTTGAGTTGCTCCTTATTTTTGATGTTCTCTCCCTTTTTTTCTCAATTCAAAATATGAAAAATAAAGTTAATTCTACTTTTTCAAAAATATAGCATTGATGGCTATGGGAATCTGTTATGATTGACTTTTCATATTGCCAACTGATGCACGTCTTGCATTTTTTTTAGAGACCTACACTACTTCTTTATTTTTTTTATTTTTATTTTAATATTACTAATACCCAATCCTGCTTTTCCTTAACTTTGTTAGTATATTTTGGTACCTATACATATTTTTCCTATCTTTTAGTTCATTAGATTTTTTTATTTTATTAATATCTTCAACATTAATGATTTTTTAATTAAATATTTTTCATGATTAAATAAATATATTTTTATATATTTTAATTAAATTTTATTATTTTAATTATGAAAGATTTGATTTTGATTCGATCTCTGATTGAATCACTATTTAGATTGGTTTGATGATCAATTTAATTTTCAATACCTTGAAAATTAATACTAAGTAACAATATAATATTTCCAATACTATTAGCACTAAATTTGAGCATTGACAAAATTAGCTAAGCATAGTTTTTTTTAGAGACATTTTTTATGTTTACATAAATTTAAATTCAAGATCTTATATTTAATTTAAGTGGTTATAATTAAAGTAGTCAATTAGGGTCGACCTTATTGGCCTAGCCCTTTAAGCCTAAAAATTTAAAATTGGGCCATTACTTTAAAGTGTAAAATAATAAATTTGATTTAAAAAGATTAGCCCTTTTAAATCTGAAAATAAAAAGACTAACCCTTTTGAAGCTCATATATATATATATATATATATTAAAATTTAATATAAAAAACACTACACTAAGAGAAAACCCTAACCACTTATAAGGCTCAATAAGGAAAAGTATCAAATTATATTAATATTGATAATAATAAAAATTATTAAGACTTAGTTGACGAAATTTGCAAAATCTAATTGTTATAGGTATTGATTTTAGGATGTTTCTATTTTTTTATTAGACTTAAACTTGTTGTTGTCACGTAAATTGATTTAAATTATTTTTTTTAGATTTAATATTATGTGTAATAATTTTTTTAAAATTTTTAATTTAAAAATAAAAAAATATAGGGTTAAGGCCCTCAAAGCTCAAGCCTAGCCCTTCAACTCTGAGAATCAGAGTTCAACTATGCAAAATGGTGCCCTAAGATATAATTAAACTTAAAAGGATCATCTCATTTAAACCCTTGCTTTTTAGAACCACACTGACTTTAATTAATAGTTTTAGTTATAATATGTTCCACTATAAATAATATTGGTTAGTTGCATGATAATGAGTTTAATTTGGTGCTGACAAAAACAAGCATTTTAATCAAAGGAATTTTAATTCTAAATAACTACATCTTAATATTTTTAATTTCTATAATCCTCAATGATTAATATTTTGCGAAATGCTGGCAAAGAAAGGAAATAATAATAATATTTTGCGAAGTATGCCCTGCTTGTGCTCGCGGGCCAGCCCTTAAATCTTGACCGTTAAATACAATAAACCAACGCACAGCGGCACAGAACAAGCCAGTCAAATTGGGGGGGAGGGGGGGGACTTTAGCGTGAAATTATAAAGTCAGTGGGCCAATTTTAAGTATATCTAGCAATGGTAGGATCAAAGACTTAATTCTTATTTTGACAATTATTATCTCACCCACAGCTGCCTCGGCTTTAGTTCGGTGCGATAGGCCCTCTGTGCCCGCTTGTTCCTCCGACAAGGGAGCGTCACCGCCTATGCGCGCCATCGATCCAAGTCTACATAATCGGTCTCCGACGTTGATGATCAAGGTGGAATTATTGTTCAATACATCAGTTGTAGGAAGAGACCGGTCTTTTACCGATTAATCTTGTTCAACGAAGAAGGCGGTTAGGTACTGTATCTTACCCTCTTATCGTCAAGAAGTTTTATGCTTTTTTCTTTAGATTTGATTTCTTGCGTTTTTCGAGAATCGGATCACTATGGATTGTCTTGTTTTTGGGTGGTTAGACGATTTATTGGGGATATTGGGTTCAGTGTACTTTCTGACGCTCAAATGTTTAGCTAATTTCGGTTGTTCCTTTTTATCGTCGTTGCATTTTTTTGGTTGGACAATTATATGTTTGAATTTGATATCGGTAAGTAGTTTGAAGATTAGAGTGGGAGATGAGGAGTTAGAACAGATTGTGAACCATTAAATCACGCTGTGCAAACCTTAAGGAGTCAGAATGTCACTTTTTATACCATCACAGAAGGTTAGATTGTCTATGATGGTTTTGTCGTATGCTGGATGCTGGTTGTTTTGATCACTGAGCAATTGAATGTGTAGACTACTTAACATCTTTAGAACTAAAGCCTTTTGAATTCAAACAGTGCTTTCTTTGTTTTATTAGCCGGTCTGATTAAGAGGAATTGGTGCCATGATATCATTCTTTAGCATCTGTTGTTATTTATGCTATAATTCAGTTTCTGTTGAGCACTATTTTTCTTGATCATTTATGTTACGATGTAAGCATTGTTGTTATGTTGTATATGTTGTTAATCCAAGGTGTTAATGAATGATGGTTTCTGTTTGGTATTCGATCATAAAAAATGTTTCATTTCTGAAAATAAACAGTCATACTCAGGATTACTTGCATTGTGTAACGAGCATTCTAAACTTGATTGTCAAACAGTGTTTTGCTGCATTATTGGCTGTTTGCTGATGGATGATAGAGTGCCTCCAAGCCTTTTTGTTAATGATGGTTCATTCATGGAGAGATTCAAGCAACTTCAACAAGAGCAGGAGAAGAAAAATGAAACATTAGAGGATTCTAAACCTATTAAAATTGTGCCAGGCTCTTTGACTCCTAATCTTTCCCTTAGCAAAAAGGCCTCTGCAGACTTGAAGGCTAATACACAGAAAACATTCCAGGCTGTTTCCGGTGGTAAACTTGCATTCAGTTTAAAACAAAAGTCAAAGCTAGTGCCTCCACCTGTTAAGTTAAGTGCAGATGAAGATGAAGAAACGGATAATAGAAATGTTTCAAGTGATGCGACTCCAAAACGACAAAAGGTGGGGCATGAAGATGGCATTGAGCGGTCATCAAGACAATCTGATGATGGTAATTACATCTCTCACAATCTTTTTCCTTGTATAATGGCCTTGTAGTTAGTAAGTCTTGCAACTGCTGAGTTAGGGTACTCAAAGTAATTCTTTTTTTTTAACTATTTCTATCCTGACCTTTACTGATTAATATTCTTCATGCATTGAAGCACTTAAGAGGATCCATCCTGTCTGTGCCATGATATTGAGCTGGCTTCTGATTCTCTTCCTCTACTTCCATTTTTAATTTGTTCTCAGAATCTTTTTGTCCTTTTTTCCTTTTGTGGATTTTATTATCTACTGCTGGTATCTGGCTCATGAATGAGGATGCATTTTATGTTTTCAATATATCTTTAAGGAACTATCTTTCATGTAGTTGCCTTTGCCTCGTAGGTGACATTTGAGCAATGAATTCTGATATTCTGCACTATTGGAAGATGTTTATAAGAATTAAGGAGTTTGAATGAGATCTATGACAGTCAATATTTCAGTGTTGGTTATGGATTTGACGTCCATCATGGAAGATTAAATTTTTTAAATATTTCCAACACAATGTCTTCTAAAATTATCGTATGATGAACATCATAGAGCCTTTTTATCATTGATGAAAATGTCTTAAGCACAACATATTTTTCTACTTGAGGAAGGAAGATTTAAGGCTAAAACACTTTATGAGGAACTTGCCATTTTTATAATAGTTATGCAAAGGGAATAAGAAGGATGTGAACTTGGGTATAATGGTGCAGTATGTTTGGAACTTGCCTTGAGATATTTAGGTAAAACAAGATTAAAATATCTCATTCCTTCTCAGCTAGTTTAGGCATACAGTTGACATTGTGATATTTTGCTCCTTTACTTTCTCGTCCTGAAAATAGAGTTGTCCTCCATATGGAACAGAGTTTCATTATTGAAGAGGTATCTCGGTGTATGCGAACTTTGCTCATTGAAACTTTGTAGCAAAGAAAATAAAATATCTTGGATATTTGTCTGATGAATGCAGCTTATTCCTCAAGTTCCTATCGAGAATGGTCTATTGGCACGCCTGGTACAAGGGTAATTTGCATTCTCTTGTTCATGCTCTCGGTATTAATGAGTTTTGTAAGTGCTATGCAGCACCTCCTTCCCCAAGTGATCCTGCAGTAAAGAAAGTTGCTGAGAAACTAGCAAGTTTTGTGGCTAAAAATGGAAGGCAATTTGAGGATGTTACACGTCAAAAAAATCCTGGGGATACACCTTTCAAGTAAGCTTTTGCGAACCTTGACCATATTCAACTGCTCTTTTTCTTTTGATCTATAAATTTTCATTTTATGTAAACACATTTTTATAGGTTTTTATTTGACGAGAAATGTGATGACTACAAATATTATGAATATCTACTAGCCCAGGAGGAAAAGGCTCTATTGCATACCCGGGAATCACAGACATCACGTAATGGTTTGTATCTGAATAGATTTTCTTTTCCAAATCAAATTTTGAAGGACTTGGCTAATGTTTGAAGAATGGATAGTGGGTAGAAGCTAGGGATTTGGAATCGCTAAGGGCATAAAACACTGCGACTGATGCAAATACCATATTTATTTGACACAGTATTGAGAAAACATATGGCTCTTGTTCTCTCTTAATTCTTGGAAATTTTGTTTTCTTACCTCACTGTGAAGCATGGGAAACATTTTTATATGCAGGGGGTACAAGCTCCTCATCTTCTAGACCAACCAATGTTCCTCGGAGATCATCTCAGCAGCATTCAACTTACCAAATTCCAGCATCTGCTTTGTATGAAAGTTCTGAAGATCCTGGAGTTTATGGATCTTCAGGTCAAGCAGTGTCAGTTGGAAGTGCTGGTAAGAACTGTATCAGTTTAATTGTTCTTGGTCTGTTAACATTTTTTTACCTTTTTGATATATGTTTATCAGTCAATTTGACGAATTTGAATATGAAGTAGACAGAAATAACTAAATTTGTTTGTGTCGTAATTGGTCTAAATAAATCAAAGATTTGAGGACATGTGGGATCTTTTCAGTATTTTAAACTCTTCCCATGTGCTTGGTGTGCAATCCTCTTGATGTTTGTCATGTATATATCACTTTTAGATGAAACTAGTGGATCATCAAATGCTGATTCTTTAGCATTAATGGAGTTCTACATGAAGAAAGCTGCACAGGAAGAGAAGATGAAAAGACCTAAGCAATCTAAAGATGAGATGCCCCCTCCTGCATCTCTTCAAGGTTTGTCTTTTTCCTTGAGTTGCATACCATTCAAAAACAGTTCCTATTGCATTCTTTTGCTTTCTATGGAATATTCTTCTAATTGCTGCCCTTTGGGTGGCACAGCTTCTTCAAAAAAAGGTCATCACATGGGCGATTACATTCCCCAGGATGAACTAGAGAAGTTCTTGGCTACCTGTAATGATGCAGCAGCACAGAAAGCTGCCAAGGAGGCTGCAGAGAAGGCTAAAATTCAGGCTGATAATGTGGGCCACAAGCTTTTGTCAAAAATGGGGTGGAAAGAAGGTGTTTTTTGCTTTTCCTATTCTCTTTTCTTTCAGTCACTTGAGTTCATTTCATTCAAACGTGCTCAATTAGTTGTGGCTCAAGCTCTAGCGGTTGTATTAAGACATTCCCCCCCCCCCCCAAAACAATATGCTTATTTGTGCTTTAGTGAGTATGACATAGGAGGTAAACTAGTGAGTTATATGAATCTGCCATCCGGTTGTGTTTTCATAGAGGTCAATTTTTATGTCTCTGCGTTCTGTGAAAGTAGTTTTATGAAGTTGATTATTTCTTTTGCTAACTATTATCATCAAAATTCCAGGTGAGGGTCTGGGCAGCTCTAGGAGTGGTATTTCAGATCCCATCATGGCAGGTAATGTTAAGATGAACAACTTGGGGGTTGGTGCTAACAACCCTGGCGAGGTGACTCCTGAAGATGACATATACGAGCAGTACAAAAAGAGGATGATGCTCGGTTATCGTCACAGACCCAATCCTCTGGTACATATGGCTATTCCATTCTTTTCTGTGCAATGTCTTAGACTTGGGTCCCATAGTGTGATGTGGTTTTCTTGTTTCTGTATTGGCAGAACAATCCCCGCAAGGCTTATTACTGAACTTCCTGGATGAAGCATAAATGTTAATCTTGTGTTGGACGACGGTGTGTTGGTCATTCTGTGGTGTGCTTCCACCTGCAGGGCGATTTTTTGCCCCTTAATTTTTTATTCGTCTAGGTGAAATTGTTCTCTTTTATTATAATTACCCTTCAGCAAAGAAAGAACTGTGTTAGAATTTTTATTTAATCTTTTATTTGTCTTGTGGTACATTTGCATGCTATTTATGGAGAAGGGATTTGGCTGTGTTTCATGTCGATAATTAAGCGTGTTTCTTAGTTAATAAACAAGTAAATGTATTAGGCGAATATTATCCAAAGCAAAATGGAGTATTGGTGTATTTTACATGATTGCGTTCCAAAAGGCTATTTTGTCTATTTCATAAATGGCTTAACCTAGATTGAGCCATTTATGAAATTTAAAGGTTTACAATTTCGGAGCTGCTAAATTTTCACAATTGTAAGTTTATTATAAGCATATGGAGGAAGTAAAATCTCGTGAGCTATTATTCATTAATTTGTGAATGCTCGGATTTATTTTCCATTCACCATCACTACTTTTTTTAAGTAAGTATAAGGAGGCGGCTTTACTGACAGCACATTCTCCTGAAGTGCTGAGAGCAATGGAGATAGGGGTTGAGGTTCTAACATCCAATCACGTGCCCGAGTGACTGAAAGTTTCTAGACTTATGTTAGCTTTAGTTGTTTTATCATTACTACTTTTAAAGTGGACACTGTTCACTCACGATGTTAATGATTAGAAGGCTTTGAGTTTCAACTGACACATTATGGGCACCATGCCTTTTTTGTCTTTGTTCTTTTAACAATTTATTCTCAAGGGAGGCACTCCTAATTCGCAAAATGAACGTGGAGAATGCATCCAGAGTAAAAGTGAATTTATGAGTCCGTTATCCCGAAAAAAAAAAAAAAACCATTTTCCATGCCTATTTTGTGAATTTGAAAGATCTAAGCCATTTGTTTTGTTGATAAAGATGATAGACTCCAACTATAACAAAGAACTTTCTTTGGGAAAAAGAGTGAGTATTGTGTCACTGTAAAATTATGAATCCTGTTCTTATCAACTAAAACTTTTATTTAGAAAAGGAGAGAATATTGCTTCATCATAAAGCATATCCTCTTCACTCAGGGCAGACATTATCAAATTCAGCAAGTAGTTCTATTCTTCTACTAAACACTTACCAAAAGGCTGACCAAAAAGTTGTACAAGTAGCTTGAAGAAAACGACCAGTAATAACAAAACCAGTAATATGCGCCTAACATAACAAAAATAATATGATAAAAAAAAAATACTCATTATATATAGCAAAAGAAGGTCCAATTAGCTCTCTCTCTCTGAGTACTTTTCAGTTTGAGTAATGGGAGACAGTAATACATCCATAAGAATCACTTCATTCATAGGCAGCCAACAAATCCAATAGCCAATCCTATTTAAATATAATCTTCTGTTTTATCCCACTTGTAAGAAGCAACACATCATTTAAACCAGTATTCTATATACATACATAAATACACATATATACTATTAAGATTTGATAGATCATGGTATATGGGATTATCAGGTGGGTCAAAAGCATGCTTAAGGCCTTGACAATATATTTTTACCAGTTTCAGAATATCTTCTTGCTTTATCTTCTCTTTTATGCCTTAACACATGGTATCAAAGCTTGGTTATGTCTACATAGAATGCTAACTCGTGTATTGCACAGAAGCATTCTAAATTGTTGACTTATGTGATATGCATGTATTTTCTAAATGTTTGTTCATGTGATCGCACAAGCGAGAGACCTACTGATGCGATAAATTATAATTACTAATAAAAAAACATTTCTAAATGCAAGCTATTATTTATCAAATCAACCAAACTATTTAGGGAAAGTCATACTTAGGTACCTAAGTAGGTAAGTAATAACGATTGAGGACCTCAAAATTGTGAAATTAAATTTAAGGACCATGGTCTTTTATTACAGTTAAAAAAAGTCTTTCCACTAAAAGATTTTCCACACTATGTAATTGTGTATTTCAAAGAGAGGTGTTTCAGTTAGAAGATTATTTTTTAAACTACAAAAAAAGGCCATGGTTCTTAAATTTAATTTCACAATTTTGTGATCCTCAATCGATATTATTAGTTTGTCAAGGTCTTTAATTATAATTTTTCCTACTATTTATGAGCCACTAGCTTCCTAAAGAAATTTTGTAATGATTGAATGATTGTTGCACATATCTGTATAAATGTTGGAGAACATGCCACACTAGCTTGCACACACATGCATGCGTGTAGTGATATGTCTAATATTTAACAAAAAGTGTTCTCTTTTTTTGTGAAGATTCTTGAGATTGTGCGTCTTGTGACCAATTCTGATTCGAAACTCCACTAAAAGAGGACAAACTGAATCCAAAAATGTCTAAGCAGTGACACAACAATCCCATTAATGTGAAGTTTCAAATCAAATGAGAATCCTTTATTCCTTAGTGGGAATGAGATCCTGTGCTCCACCGTTGCACCACCTCAGCTTCCAATATTTGCAGAGCCATTTTAGCAATACGTGTTTCCTCAGATGCCAGATGACCCATTTGGGGTTTCAGTTCATTTTTTCCTCTCCCCGTGGCTATCAAGTGTATTGGAGTCCAATGTGAGTTAACGTGACAATTAATAAGTCTCACTTTGGATAGAGTTAAGTTAATTTGAAAAGAAGTACATAACTATATAGATCACTGAATTTAAAAGAGTTTAATTTAGGGTATTTTTGTCCTTCAATTATTCACTAAAAAAAATGCTTGGTATCTTAAATCTTTTAATGCCCAAAGATTCCCCCTCCAACAATTAATTAAAATAGTAAAATATTATCCTACCGTTAACAAAGTTAACTTTGAGTATAAATTTATTCCAAAAATGATTAAAAAATTATTTTTAAAAAAGACTAAAAAATATACAAATAAGCGTCCTATGAGAAAATTAATACTAATGAAGTCCCCTTAAATTATAAATAAATATCAAGAGATATGTCTTACCATATAAAAGGCCAAAATGCCACTTTGACAGGCTACTAGATTATCATCAAATCACTATTGTTGACAACAATAACTGAAATCAATCAAAAAATAACATATTTTTTTTTATCAAAGTAGCTTGTCAAAATGATATTTTGGTTTTTTTATATGAGTAAGAAGTTACATTCTTTTTGAAATTTATTTGTAATTTGGGAGACTTACTAATATAAATTTTTTTATAATGTCCTTTAATGTAATTTTTAAGATTTTCTTTTTAATTTTTTAAGTCAATTAATGATCAAACTTAACCTATGTAACAATAAGGATGAAATTGTATTGTTTTTAAATATTAAAGAGAGACATTGCAGCATAAAACAAATTTATAATACTAGATGCTCATGCGATAGTTAAGGAGGGAAAATATCTTTTAATTCAATTTAAAATCTTAATTTTTTTTTATCAAAATGTTATGTTAACCTTACCGATGTTAGATAGAGTTTGATTTTGACATGGACTTGTATGAGGATGATAAAACTTGCATTTTCTTTTTGAATAGGAAAAGAAAATTGATGACATCTATCTTCTCCAAAGGAGGGACGTTCATTGGACAATGAATATATTATTAAAGAATAAAGATAGCATCTCCAAAAGGAAAGTGAAGAAGTATGGGGAAGTGATTTTATACTGCTTATATTTCACATGATAGAATAAAGAATAGTTTGTATTTCCATTTTCTTTTTCGGATAAATAAGGTAGAAGATTCCCCACCAAACAATGGAATTTCAGAACAAAGTATTTATGTGATTCTAAGATTAGAAAGACAGATTCTAGGGATCCAATCACTAAAATGGTAGGCTATTTTTTGGGTTTATTTTTTTCCCATTGGGAAAACCTATCCTTATCTTTTAGTCCTTTTTTTTATATACCCAGGGCTTTTGAAAGAGATGAGTGCTCATTTAAGGCCACTCATTGGGCGTTTCTTTATTTTGTTTTTTTAAACCAACAAAGGGAAGAAACAATAAGTGAAAAGGAGCCAACTTTTTTTTGGCTTCGTCCTAAATGTTTGATTTTGTACCTAATTAATATGTAGCATCAACTGAGGTCATTAATCAAACTAAAGGTTTAGAATTATCCATTCATTCTAAGGTACTTGAAAAGGTTGAGCAGAAAAAAAAAATCAAGAAAGTATTTCCTGGGGTAATGTTCAGAGTTTAGTTTAATTGCTCCTGCTTCATTATTTATGTTAATCACTCAGTTTAACTTAACTATACCTGGAACATTGTAGGCCATGCAATTGGCCTACTCATGCCATATTTAACAAACATTGTCTTATTAAGTAAATGGTTACGAATTCAAATTTTAATTTTTGTATATGATAATTTATTTAAAAGAGACTATTTTTTACTTTCAAATTTAATATTCTGTGTGAGATAATCTTTTTTTTATTGCTCATAGGTATATTCCTATTGAAAACAATTATATTCGAAATACAATTAGGTACTAAATGTAAACATTTTTTTTAATGAAGATTCAAATCTTGGTTTACCACATTATGAGAAAATAACTCTTTCTACTAAACCTATGAGATAATCATTATTATCAACAAGGTCTATTCATTGTGCTAAAAGAAGACACTGTTATATTAACAAAGGTTGGTCTCAATAATAAGAATTAATTCCATGCTCTTTTACAAGGATGCGAGTTTAAAGGGCTTGGCTAACACTGATGAATTTTTGGAACCTAGTTCATGAAAAAATTTTATCACAAAAAATATATAAAAACATACACACACACATAATGTTTTTTTATCAATGAGGAATTATATTTTTATGGAAATTTACATAAAACTATTACATGGAGGAGTCAAATAAGTAAATTTGATCAAAATTAATAATAAAAAAGACTGATTAATCTGAGATACTAATCTACCCATGCTCAATATATATAAATTATTGCATTAAATTTTAGATTTAAAACTCGAAATAAAAGTTAGGTTTAGGTCAATATGCCTAATTTGACTGCAATCTTTTCACCAATGAGAGAAGAAAAGAGGAGAGATAAAGAGTTTAGGTCTCAACTTACCCATTCCTAACTTATTGGAATGCATTTATGACTGCAACTTTCAACCCCAACAAGTAATGACTAAATCATCCAAGTATTTTTTTATTTTAATATAAAATTCTTCACAAAATTTCTTAACATGTCCTTCATAATAGTTTAACTTCTAATTTGCTTCTTATGCCCACTTTAGTATCCTTTTTTTTCTTTTCATTTTTGTCTTTTAGTGAAAACTTGGGGTTTAAACTTGGCCCTTGTGAATGTTAACAATCTTAAGAAATTTGATTTTTTTTTTCATTTTGACTTGTTAATAAATTATAACAGATAGCTTTGTTTTAAAAATTGAATTGAATCAATTAAAACCAGACTGACTCAAGGATTAATCAGACATGTAAAGTTGAAGGTTTCTTTTTCTTAAAGTGTAACCATATACTTAATGTCCACATTAATCAAAGCTCATGCATGTCAATTATTTTTATTTTCACGTTATGCATTAAAAATTTTTTTATTGAACATCTATTTCCATTCTTACAAGTAAAATTAATTTATCTATTCGGTCAAGTTGCATCCCAGTTGCTGGAGCGTAAATTTCCCACTCAAATATCTGAAACTTGTGTCTGAAAATTCTCTATTACATATACTTCTCATGTATTTGTGGACATGTCGGCAATGTTAAAAACATTGAGATTAAAGTTCTTCGAAGACATAAGGGTTGAATACTTAAACAAGTAATTTAGAAAAATTATTCATTGAAATTACTTTGTAAAGGTATTGCGTTGACATTAACTTTTTAACTTCTTTTTAGAATGTCAAACGTTTGACTTCCAAGCTCCACGAGGAACACATGTAAATGTGAAATGCGTTGACATTAAATTTTCATATCTTTTCAAGTTCATTTGTTAGTTGACCTTTTATAACATTACGATATTCATTAACCAGACACGGTTTACTCAGGCATTATATGAAGTTAAAAAAAAAACCACGATTTATAGGTTATTAATAATAAAATTTGTTATAATTTTTATATCTTGATATTTATTTTTAAAAAAACAACACACGGAATCCTGGAAATAATATCTCATCAAATCATGTAAAAATATGAAATCAAAGAAGATAGCCCATCTATGGCTTCCAAATGCTATTCTTAACAAGCTAACAAAGGCTGGTATTTTTTATATTAAATTCTTTGACCATGAAATAATTTTTATTGTTGTTTAATAATTGATGAAGTATATGAAAAAAAGGTTTCGACGTACGATATATGCCAAATGGTGAATTGGTCAATCATACTTCATACAGCCTGGAGGCAAGCGAATTGAATATGAAATCATATAATGAAATTTATGGTCATTGTTGAATTTAGAGCTACTCACATCATTGACTTTGACACTATTTTATTTTATTTTAATAAAAATTAAATATGTTATGGAAATTTTGAAAACAGGCTCTTTGAATTTTCTTTTTATATCAGTCGTTTAAACTATATTCTATCTAGGGACTTCGGTTCCTTCCATCGAAAATTCAAAGCATGGCCCTGTGAGGAATTTTTAAAACTTAAGGTAAAATTATTTTCTAATGTATTGTTATTTATATAGGTCTATATTATTTTTATAATTTTTTTTAGCTTCAAAATCAAATATTTAAATTTTGTAATCAAATAATTTTAACATTTTATTTTGAATAGCTAGATAATATAACTAATACATCTAATTTATTTTGTAACATAGCTAATCTTAAATTAAATTTAAGCAATTTTAATTTTAAAAATTTGTGTTCAACAGTAATAACTGTTTAGTGGTACTATCAAGTATCAACAATACTTTCTAAGCAATATACATATTTAAAGGAGAGTTTAATCTTTTAATATAGTATATGCATGCTACCCTTTTAATTAGAGAATAAGTCATTAATATTAGAAATGAGAGTGACAGGCAGCAATAATTTTTTGATAGAAAGGTGTAGTTAATGCTTAATGTCAAAACTTAGGCCTCCCTAGTTTTTCTTTCTGTTTTATTTTTTCATGCTTCCGTGTCTATTAAAAAAAAAAAAGCTTAATGTCAAAACAATGACCGCTTATATAGGATTTAAGTAGGGAATAAATTCATAATGAAAATATTTAATTAACATATCAATATTTAACAGAAAAAATAATGACTCATTTTGTAGGATATAAATAAAAATTTTTTTTGAGACCTAGAAGACTAGAACCATGGCCTTGAAGTATACAAGACCCTGCAAAGCATAACATAATATTAATGTGTGTGTGTGTGTGTGTTATTTACCAAAAATTTAGTTTCGAAATCCTTTTTGGCAAGGATTGAAGTACATATATAAGGGTTAGGTTTGAACTTCTAATTACTTGGATAAGTGACAAAAATTTCAATCACTCACTGATTACTCTTAAAATTCTTATCATAACATAAAAGCATTTTCTTTCTAAGAAGCATTGTTTCGTCACTTCCTTTAATTTCGTTCCAATTTTTTTCTTCCTTTTTTATTAAGTTCTTTTTCATATTCATTTAAGCTAATTTTTTTTCCCTTTTATATTTTGTTATAAGAGAGGCACCATAGTTTGGAATTAAGGAGAGAGAAAAGGAATCAGTAGGAAGTAAACATGGGACTCCTATATACAAAGTCTAAAATAAATCACGCGATTTACATTTTATAAAAAGCGCATTTTTTTCAGATATTATATAAATAAATATTTATTGACCAAAACCAAGCACATCCCATTTTATCATAATTGATAGATTAATTAAATATCTTTTTTTCAAGGATTAAATTATAAAACAATAATTTTTAAGAACCAACTCATACATTCTTTCCCTCTCTCATAAATATAATCAGCCTTATCCATAAGTCCTTTCCTTGATAATCCTTGATTAATTTTTAATGAAAAGGAAGATTACTTAAGTAATTAATTAATTAAAAAGTAGTTCTGAGACACTGTGATACGAAATGCATGCTCCAATAAAAATGTTGAAATGTACTTGACCCTTCGTTCTACCAAAGAACACTACTATCTTACCATTAAGCTTCAACATTGAATCCCAATGAACCCACACAACTAATTCTTTTATTCTGCTTTATATCTATGTATAATATATATTAGGTTGTTCAACTGTGAGCGTACTTAAATAGATGTGAGAAGTCTCATTTCGAATAAAGTTAAGTTTAATAACTAATATATAATAAAGATAAAAAAAGAATTCATAAACTTAAACCTTGAGATTTTGAATTATAATGTGGCGTCATTTTGTTACTCTTGCCCTTCTCTCCTCTCCCTCATTCCCAGGCAGTCGTTCCTCATTCCTAACAAGTGATATTAGAGTTTAGTTTCGCTTGAGATCTGAAAGCCCATTATTGCGCACATGTTTGAAATGCAAAAATGAGACTAGCCCTAATTGCAAAAGGCACTTGTGTGCTTATGCCGCAAGCTCAAAAATTGAGTTGGCCCTAAAAAGTAGGGATTTAATATTTGGAGTATCTTTAATATAGAGAGCTTGTGTAGACTCACACTTAGTGGGATGTGAAAAGTTCATGTCGGATAAAGTTAAACTTAATAATTAATATATAATAAAAAGAAATGACTTATAAACTTAAGCCTTAAGATTTTGAATTAAGATATGAAATTCTTCTACTACTCTTGCTTTCTCTAATCTCTCCTCATTTTTGAATGGTCGCTCATCATTCCTAACAATATGCAAACTAACAAACCAAACTATTTTTGTGTTACAGTCTATCTAATTTATAAAAATGAAAATATGTTTCCATTTGGATAAAAAAGGAAAAATCAATTGTATATATGTTTCCATTTTGTGTATGATACTATTTTTGTTGTATTACTTAATATTATAAAAGACTCAAAATCTTTTTATGGATGACTTGATTGATGATGAGTCAACCATCACTAAACTATATATCCCATTACAATTATGTTGCTTTTTTCTCAACTTAATTAGTGCATGATATATACACTATCATGTTATGTCATCCTTAGGTCTATTAATTTATAGAATTATAGAAATTAAATATTTTACAATTATAAGACTGTGTATAATGACAAAAAAAATGTGAAACTTTGTATTTCCTCTGATCTTAAATACCAACTAATTTTTGAAAGTCACGTTTGACTCACTTCAATTGAATCAAGTTTGGTGTGATAAGATACATATTTATATATTTTTTAGTCCTATTTATTAATTATATTTAACATATTTTATTAAAACCAATAAAAATTAAACTCATTAATTTTGTTCAAAAATTTAATAAATTCTCAACTTGAATCCTATTAAATATACATATTTTAACAATATAATTTCTTTTACCAAAAAAGAGGGGTTACAACTTATAAAAAAAAAGAGAGGATATAATAGAAAATCTGTAATAAAAATTTAATAATATGACTTCTAAATATGATAAAAAAAATTTCTCTCTCCAACCAATAAATAAAATTGAAAATAATATATATATATATATATATATATTTTTCTTCTTTAAAACATTTAGGGTAAGTTAAGAATTAGGAGGGCATAACTCAAGAGTTTGGCCATTTAAGGATTTATTTGATGGTCAAAAGGGAAGTTATTTGAAAAATGCAAAAGTAAGGTGTGCATTATGGTTATAAGGAGGAAAGATAGGGGTAATTACAAGACACGGTATTACGTAAATAAATATGCCCCCAAGGAGAACCCAATCATATCTCGTGTTTCACCTTCTTCCCCTCCTGCACCTCTGTTTCTGTCATCTGTATTTTCAGCTCAGATCCACCCACCCCCACACAAAGCTAAACCACCTCAGTTCTCCATACACATTCAATCACCTCAACTTCTAAGGTTAACTGCAAAATAATAATCATAATAATAATAATAACCTTCATCTTCCTCCAATATTCTTCTTCTTTTTCCTCTGTTTTTCGTCATTCTGATCCCATATAATCAGTGGGAACAGAGTTTGACATAGATACTGACTTGAAATATGATGTATGTTTCTGGGTTGATTTTCAGGAACAGGAAATTGCCATGAGTGTGGTGTATAGTCCTGCTCTCAAGTACCCAGGAATGGATCCTAGAAACATCAAACAACAACAACAACAACGTTGTCTGCAGCAGCAGCAAATTTCTGGCCTATTAAGGTACCGGCGTTCTGCTCCGAGCTCATCGCCGGAAAACCTGGTGGAAAGTGAAGGAGGTTGCGCAGATTTGGATCATCAACAACATGAGCGAAGAAGTTATGTTCCATCCTTTGATGCAGAAATGGAAGGCATGTTGGATTCTGGTTCCAACAGTGGATGGAGCAATGTGAAGAATGAAGGAGGAGGACGGGGAGGGTCTGTTTTCTGTAATGAAGATGATCAACCAATTTACCATTCTCATGAAAGATTCCAAGAATTTGCAGGAAGTGGATCATGTTCAAGTGTGATGATGATGAACACTGTGATGGGTTTTCAGAACTCCACTCAATCCAAAATGGCTTCACGGAATTGTTCCAATAATCTTCTCCTCAGGCACAAGAGCTCACCTCCCGGGTTTTTCTCCAATTTCTCTCTCACAAATGGTATTCTTTGTAATCTTTATTTCATGATTTAATTAATTGTATTGTTGGAATATTTTAAATATGACCTAGATTTGCATTATTTAGTCTGAGTTAAGAACTGATTAGCTTTTATAATCTTGTGTGGATTATGATCGATGAGCTACACAATGAGTCAATTTAAGCAGAGGCTTAACTTACAACTTTTTAGCTCTCTTAAGAGAGAATTAATTAAATAATTAATTAATTACATCTTAAGTGGTTACTAACCTAGTCTACGTTTAAGCTCATGCGTTATAAGAGGACATTAGTCAGTCCAGTAACTCACATACTAAGGAGACCCAGTAACCTGTGAATTTGCCTACTCTCAAAATATGAGGATTTTTATTTAAGTCTACTATCTCTAGAGCAATTAATTTTTCTCAGTTAGGCTTTGCAAGCCCTCCTATAATTATTTTGACTAATTAATGGGATCCTTTTAACATGTATTTCTGAGAGTTCATGATGATAAAATAATTAATTGCAGGTTTTGCGTCACTGGTTGAACAAGCTACAACATCCACTAATGGCTTGAATGCTGCCTTTACCTTCTCATCTGAGCCATCTTCCTCTTGCCCAAGAAGGATGCCTCAGATCTCTGAAAATGGAAATGAAGCCCTACAACACCAACAAGACCAAGAAGACGAAGCAGCAGCAGCAGCAGCAAGAACCTGTGTTGAAACTAGAGGCCTGCAGAGAAATGACAATGGAGGGCACCACAAAGATTATATCAATATGCCCAGTTTCACAAGTGACTTCTGGGACAGTTCTTCATTCACGGCTAAAAAAACACCCAGTGACAGCAATGAATTCATATTTTCTACTTCAGGTGCTTTGGAATCTCAGGTTGGTATTCCAAAAAAGTTCACAAATTCATTATCATCAATATAGAAATGAAGACTTGCCAACGTTTTTAAGTCATTCTTATTGAGAAGATATCCACCACAATCTATTTTACACTATCTAAATTCTCTTCTAATTCATTGATTGTTATTGTATTATGGCAATCATTACATAAAATAAAATAATATCGTCTTAAAGTTCAGGTCAGACGATGTGATGTGATAACATATGACAGATCAAAATAAATGATAAGGATATTCTTGATAGAAATATAATAAAAAATGACAAACTATACTAAATTTGAGCTCTGTAAGTCCTATGAAAATTATCACCTTAATGAATTTCTGCTTTGATGTTTTTTAACAGCAAGCAGAGCAATTTAGATATCAAAATGTTGGGCTGACTCATCAAATGAGTTTGCCTAGTTCTTCAGACCGGAAGGGCGGCATAGAGAGGATTTTGCATATTCAAGAATCTGTTCCCTGTAAAATTAGAGCCAAAAGAGGCTTTGCTACTCACCCAAGAAGCATTGCTGAGCGGGTAAGTCTTAATTTGCTCATCTTCATTCTTAAGACACTTTGGGCTGGTCTGGGGGTCAGGGCCCATTAATTTAAGTTTGGGCTTAGGGAATCAAGGCCCATCATCTTTATTCTCATCCCTTCATTGTTTTTTCCTCTTTATCTAGTTTTTAAAATTATTCACTTATTATAAAAAAAAATTATTCACTTAAAAAAATAATGAATTAAAGAGGCATACTTTTCGTAAATACATTTTCTACATTGGTTAGGTTCTGATATTAATCTTAGTCTGAATCCAATTTATTTATAACATTAGGTGAGAAGAACAAGGATCAGTGAAAGAATAAAGAAGCTGCAAGAGCTTTTCCCAAAATCAGACAAGGTCCTCTCTCTCTCTCTCTCTCCCTTTGTGTGTGTGTGTGTGTGTGTGTTGGCAGATTGATAACTTAACTGCTTCCATGTTGGCAGCAAACAAGCACAGCAGATATGTTGGATTTGGCAGTTGATTATATTAAAGACCTGCAAAATCAAGTTAAGGTACTAAAGAGAAGATATATTTTCTCAGGAAATTTTTTTGAAAAAAAGAGTTGAAGTGTAATTTTAAGATATTTGCTATCAGATTCTATTATAAAATCATGGCACGTGAATATCTTTTTAGATCTTAACATGATTGCATTAATTCTTTAAAAGAGAAATAGTTTCCTTACATATCATCATGGGTCTTTAAATAAATTGAACTTTGTTTCCTCATCCCCTCCTCCTGCAGATACTAACAGATACAAGGGCAAAGTGCAGATGCTCGAGTGTTCAAAAGCAACACTGATCATGAAATGGGTCTTCCAAGTTAATATTTTATAAAGCTTTTTGAAGTAATTATTTTTAACCGTTGGATTTATTAGACAGTTCAGATCATGTCATCTAACCAAGGTTATAATTAGAAGTGTGCATGATCGATCAGATTTCTGCCCAACAAAAAATTCAACGGCCAAGAACCAGTACATCAGAATATTTTGTATTTCAAGTGTTTAGATGCTTAATCTTCATGATTCTTGAAGATGGAAAAAGGAATGAGGAAATTAACGTTTCCTAGTTAGTCTCTTCATCACTTCTATTTTTTATTTTAATTCTTTTAACTTCCCTTCAACTTTAATCCTTCTTTCTTGCTTGATTGTTTATTGGTTACTACCTTCCCATACTTGTCAGAATTTTTTTCTATAGTTTTTAACTTGACAGCTTGAAGCAAACAAAATCAAATCCGCAAACTTCACACAAGCGAGAAAAACTTAATGCGATTAGACTATAGAGCCATTCGTTACCAGAAAGCTTCAAACCATTATGAAGAACATGTGCCTGTCACTATTGATCATCGCTTTAGAAAAACAATTTGTTGTACTGATTGGCAACTAATCGCACGGAAACAAATCGATCATTTGTAAGAAAGTCCGGGCTTTATCCATCATGACTGTGTAACTAACAAGTAACTCTTCTCTAGCCTGTTTGTATGGCATGGCCACAAAATTTTCTCGTTCTAGAAATTCTCCAAATTAATCAATTCATATTCGAAGATTAAAAAATTTAATAAAGGCAGACTACGGTTTGAATATATTTCAGTTTTAGTAACATGCAAGTTCAGTGTTTGGCAGAAAATACTACCCTCTGCTTCTATTCTTCACATTAGAGTCATACACTGAGGCTAAAAAACCCTTCCAAAATTTGAGAACCAATTGCCCAATTTCAACTGGGAATAAAATACAATGGTTGACATTAAAATGCAAGAATTTCCTATGCCCAAGTACATGACATTCTTGAGTAAATAAATCTACGCAGGATAAGTAGACAGGCTTTACAAGTAAACAAGTTAGGCATGTTAGATATGGATTCTAACATGCTTATTTGCCTAGTTATAATTAGCCTGATCTGCCCATCTTTGACAGACAGACAATTCCAGAACATTTCACAAACTTGGCTCTTTTGGGCCAAATTTTTTTCAAAAACATAGTTGAAAGATCAACCATTGGCCACCTAAAAAAATTGTGCATTCATATTGTACTTCTATCACAATCATCTGCAATCACTCTGAATGTCTAATTGTATCTAGGAACCTAGTAAGCAATGGGAAAAATAAACAAAATTACTCGTTACTGCTACTCTACTATTGAAAAGCTGAGCAGAGCACCTGGTTAATCCAACCATCATAAAAATGAATTTATTTTCTTGAATAAATATTGGTTAGATGCTCAAAATTTCAAGCCCCAGCCTTTACTTTTGACTTTTGCTTCTTTGAATCCAATGATGCCAAGCCTTTGCCCAGTCCAACAGGAGCATGTTCTTCTTGTACAGGTTGTGTTGTTTGGTTACTCTGAGCATTGGTTGGATCATTTGGAGGAAGGCCGTTAGCTTCCTTCCTTGCTCCATCTCCATCCTTCTTGTCCACAGCATCTGGAGTTATACCACTGGAATTTATGACGTTGAGAAGCTGGGTAAGGGGTGGCAATGCTTGGACCGGAACACCGTGCGGACGGACTAATAGGCCCCTTGCTGCGGCCTTCTTCCTAACCTCAGCAGCTGCTCGTGCAGCTCTTTCATCAACTCCCCTTCCTCTAGGAAGAGTCTCACTGATCATGGCAGCATTAAGGGATCTGTTGGTAGCCACACCTGAACTTCCAGACCCTCCAGCAATTGCAGCGGCTTGGAATGCATGTATCAAGTCTGGATTTGCCTGTCTTGACATGAAAATTCCGAACTTTGAGTAGATGCTTAAAGTATAGACTACAGAATCAGATACACTTCACAAATTAATATGCGAAGGAAAGGCAATCATCTGAAGCAGGTTAAGAAGCTTTATGTAGTCCCTTTGGTTAAAGGCAGCAAAAAAAATTTAACTGTAATCTAAGAGATTGTGACCAGCCACCTGGAGAGTGAGACCAAAAAGGGGGGGAAATTTTAAAATTGCACCAAAACCACCAAGTTAAATCACATACCAAAATGCCAGAAACAAATTCTACGAAAGGAATAACAAATGCATATTTAAAACACAAACTTTGACCCGCAAACTAGTAACTTGTTGAAGATCTACCTAATTATAACGTATAAAGTTAGCCTCGAAGATTATGTTAGTTACAAATACCATAATAATATAGTGCCTGATAATTAGAGGAACATAAAGAACAACCTTCAAGATATCAATAGCTTTTTGAGCAGAAGCAGCATTCATACTTTGACCCTTCTGTTTTTGTGCGTTCATCTGCCAAAGAGAAAAAAAGATAAGAAAATGAGTCATACATGACTAAATGAAAGGTTTTACTTTCTTAGCCATTTAGGTGGTACACTCGCATCACAGAAATCCTCATTTTCTTAGGCATTTGGATCCAACAAAGAAAGTCCAGGAACTAAAACACCACCTGTCATTAACAATAAGAAGCATGCAGGTAGTTATACCTGTATCTCACGCTTCTTAAATGTCTCCATCCAGTTTTGCGAGTCACGTGTCCTTGAATCATCTTCACCAAGTTGTTTGACAAGTATATCATATGTTTTTTTCTCATGCTGTCATACCAAATGCCAGAATCAGACAACCACTTAATAAATATAAGAAACCAGCTACGCCACTGTACGTACCTGATGAGAGAGCTTGAAAGCACCCATACAATTAAATGCTATAGCAAGAGCATGATAACAAACAGCAGTTTGAATATGCTCCTCTCCTAGAAGCCTCTCATTCTTCTTTAAGGCTTCTTGCAGATAACGAAGAGCTGTATTCATCTTTCCTATATCCTGATACATCATTGCAACATTAATAAAAGTTGCTGCAACGTCAGGATGATCTGGGCCTGATGACAGACTTAACAGGAGCAAAGCACGGGACATGTGTCGAAGGGCAAGTTCTGTCTGGTTAAGTCCATGGTAAAACAGAGCCATATTGCCATAACTGAAACAGCAATAGAATAGATCACAAAATGCTCAAGAGAAAACTCATTCGGAAAATGGCACTCAGATTCCGGCAAACTGGCATCTCAATATTTATACTTTTTCCCCATTCTAAGATTACTTTCGGTTTGGCACAAATAAAATGATACACAATTTAAAAAAAAAAAACTGCAACAGAATGCACGAAATTAAAATATCAATGGAATGAACATATATAAGTAGGGTAGAGAATACCTGTGAGCAGTGTCAGGATGATCTAGACCAAGGCAACGTTCATTTATAATTAACTCCTTATGTTGTTGCAAAATAGCTCCAGCCAAGTCCCCGGCATGATACAAAACCATGGCAAGGTACCTGAAATTTATTGAGGACATCAAAACTCAAAGATAAATTCAGATTAATGCACCACAAGAAAATGCATCAAATGTTCAGAAGATGGATGATGCAGCAAAGCAATGTAAATCTTTGGTAGTTTCTTCAAATTTATAAGCCTTTGCAAATGAAAATTGTTTAATGTGGGAATTTGTATCAAATCTATCACAGAAGTCAGAAGCAGGAAGATTAACCTATGTTTAAAGTAGCACTTCTTTAGAATAGGCAAGAACATCTAAACAACAAAAATTGACATACCGACAGCAATTAGCAACTTCACGATGCATTGGACCAGTAACCTACAGTCCAATAAACAATACATTATTTTAAGCACAAGGAACTATTCCAAGAGAGATACAGAGTCAAATTTCATGCCTGTTGTAAAATTGAGAATGCCTCTGAAAATAAAGTGTAAGCTTCACTGAGCATGCCCTGCAACAGAAAAATAATTATACAAAATAAACATGCTTTCTCAGAAAATAAATCAAGTCAACATGCACATTTTTTAACATTTATGCTTTCACAGAGAGGTGTGACCATTTCAATACTACATAAATTTAAGCATCTCAATAAACATAATTAAGATAATCCCATGTTAATTAACATAATTGTTTTAACTCACTAGGAGTCAACCCCAAAATAATAAACAACACATTTTTATTTTATTTTTTAAATTTTTGGTAATCTTCCACAAAGATTCACCTAAAAATAAAATCAAATACAAATGCATACAAAATAAATATTATCACTTTATCATCTAAGATATGCAAAGGGTTACAAATCACATTCAGAAACAGCATCAGAATCCCTAAGCATTGCAATACCTCAGCTAGTTGAAGTTTTCCAGTTTCCACTAGTTCCTTGGCTTCTGAGCATACAGGGACTGAATGCTTGACAACAGGGCGGAGATCCAAGATATCTGATGTTTGGAAGGGCGTTGTAGAATTAAGATCATGCTTACGAGCTGCAATGGTCATACCAACCTGTGGACCAACATTGTTCAAGTAATGGGTAAGAATCACTACTCAGCAGCTATTCACATCAACCATAGGAGTTGGACAAAGTAAAAACTTTTCAGAAATTACTAAGTGTTAACCTAACATCAACTATTTTTAAAAGCATGATAAGGATAATTTTTTATAATGTTGTCAAAATCAAGTGACTGTCCCTTTTTGACAAAAGAATTTTTTTATTAATTGTGCATATTACCAATTACCAAGTGCACATATGTCTAGAGCAAAGAGCACAAAAGTAGGATTTTCCAAAACGTTCATTCCTTGAAACATCAGAAAAATGGACCAAGAAAAAACAGAAAACATCATTTGGATCACTAACAAATTCAAATGAGTCAGCTGAATAGTGAGTGACATGTACTTACCTTTTGACAGAGATTACGAAGAACAGAAATCTTCTTCACTTGTGACCTTGCATCCTCTGGCAACTCAAACTGCATTGAAGTGAATTGTTCAAATTTACACCAACATTACAGATGACGAGATAAAGGAAATTCAGAAAGTTCCCAGATGTCCAATTTCATTGCATGAAAAGACATTGCTTAAATTCCAAATAGAAGAATGCAGATTATATAATCTTTTATAATATAGTACTAAGCTAACTCCACAATATGATAACTGCTATAACTACTCATATCTTGTTCAGCTAAAAGAGCTTCAAATGTTTACCTCAAAAAAAAAAAAAGGCATTCCAAATGATTCAATGTAAAGAAGTTAACAAGTGGTTTAGACAGACAGAAAATACTCAACCTTGTATTAGCATCACGTTGTTCCAGAGAAAAATATAAACAATCAAGTTAGGTGATAATTGAGACCTTGTATTTGACCATTG